TATGTGACACATCCGATCAATTGTAGGACTTATTCAATTTACGTGTTCTTTTCGATTCATCCACGGCAATTAATATCAATTAAAAATATATATATATTCCTGTCATTCATCAAAAGTTTAAAACTAATATAATTTTTTTTTTTCTTATACAAGCAAAGAAGATCAAAACTATATTAATTAAAGGCGTTTAAAACTTCTTATAATCAAATAACTTTGTTTAATTTTCTCACCAATTGCTTGTACACTACGGAAAAACAACAGTCAAATGAATCTTGTCCATCGTTTCTATCTTCTTCGAAGTCCTATGAAGTTATGGGGACCCACTTGCCGACATGTGTGATGAGCCATCTCGATCAAATAAAACAAGGACTAATTCTCATATAATAACAACTGTAAAATTAAAAAAGTCAATTAATTAATGGGTTTAATTATTTTTGGATCAACTTGACTCCTACTTGTTTCAAAAGTAAGAGGAAAGTAAACAATGAGTAGTAAATTAGTAAAGCCTCATAATTCAGATGATGCTATCTCATTAACATCTACTACTAACTTTCCCTCACTATTAATTAGTCGAGGGTTAGTTTTTCACTTAAAAAACATAATTTGTCTAAATGATAAGTTTGACAATATGTAATAAGTACCAATTGTCGTGGGGTGATCTTATCTGTATAAGCATTCACATCAAATAAAACGGAGTTGAAAAAAATTAATTGGTAATAAACAAATTCACATTGGCCTTAACATCAGGGGCAGCTTTTATATTTTTAGCTTAAGGACTCAATTATATTGAGTTGCCTCTGCTTAAGATGATTTAAATCTTTAACTTTCTACTTTGAATTGTTAATAAGTTCCACTAAAATACAGCCTTTTTGATAAATACATACACACACATACATATAAATATTGAGACCCAATATTAAATAAATACCATGCTAAGTAAACTGTCAATAATTATCTCAAGAATTTTGTAAGCAACTTTTTAAAATTAGAATTCTTTTTTTTTTTTTTTTTTGCTAAAGTTATATAAAATAGTGAATAATTGCTAAAATCTGAGGTTCAATTTTTACCTAGAAGTTAAAAATTATAGTAATAAAAATGATTTCTTTTGATTCTATTTTTTTTTTTCAAAATTATTAGCTTAATTTTATTAAGAGGTGAATTTAGCTTGAAGCCCAGACGGCCCAAGACTTGGAGTATTCCCCGGTCCAGCAGAGCAGACCATGTGCATTGGATTATAATGTTATATGCTGGCACCTTCGATTGAATACATGATCAAAGCCCCATTGTGCAAATATTGGGCTGGGCTCATCTATAAGAATATTAACTCGTTCCAGCCCATTTCAACCTATATCACAACATTTAATAATCTTAATATTTAGGCAACAAAATTGAGAAAGAGCACTCCCATAAGAATTTTACACCATTCCGTGATACATGGTCTTAGCCATTCACAACTCAATATGTCAACAAATGTGTCATCTTTATTCATTTTTTTACTTATGTGTCGAGTTATAATTGGTCGGGATTATGTAGTTTCGGGAAAAAAAAATTAAATTAATTATTTTTTTATTAAAAAAAAGAGAGAGCAAAAAGTATGATTAATCATGAAATGAGAGCAAATCTATAGTTGTTAGAGAAAAAGTGGATTTTTGATACTTGTTTCGGTGCATGCATGTGGATTTTAAACTTCCAAAGTAAATGGATTTTTGTTTTGTAATGGGAAGCAAGTTCATGAACCAACACAGATATTTCTCTCCCTTAAAGGCATGGAAGGAAACACCATCCATAGTTTGGCAAGGCTTTTAGATTAGGTATGTGGATCATGGAGTAACAATATATTTTTGTCATGATTGGCTATGAGCCTATGACTTTGTTTCTTGTTCAAATTTTGAAAATGGATCTAATTAAAAAGAGAGCTGTGATCACCACCAACTCGGTACTCTCGGGATCTCCCATTTCTGATTGCTACAAAAATTTTAAAATTTAAATGCTAATGTAGTGAGAGTATGGAAGAATTTATAATTTTAAACCCACTTAAGAATGTACATATTTTAATATCATGATGAATCAGAATTTCAAGCAACAAATATTCAGAAAATAGTAAAACTATATGAAATGGGAATTAGTGTTTTCTTTAAAAAATTTAATATAAAATTATCTATTCAACGTTGTATCTCTAAGGCATGCCAATATATATTGTTCATGTTATATAATATAGGAATGATGTACGAGTTTTGATTGGAGAAATGTTTTATTGTTCATGTTGAATTAATCACATTGTATCATTAATTTATTAAATACTGACACATAGTAATAGCAACTTATGTGATAAAATATAATTGGTTGATGACATAGATGATATAGTATCACTAGTATAGGGAAGTTTTTCTCTTTTATTAGTTGCAAAATATAAGAAATTTGAACACTCTATTTTCTTATATTTGGTAAAAATGACCGATCAAAATTTACGAGTAAGATAATTCACTTTGAAAATTAAGTCCAAATATCACTACTCATAAAATTATGAAATCATGTTAATTTTGAGGAAATAATGAAACCATGTTAATCTTGAGGAGACTGTAAATAGATTGTGTCACCGACCACGGAAAAGTGCGAATAACCTTTAATTTCCAAGCAACTTGTAATGTCACGATTATCCTCTTGGACGCTGCTTTGTTGATTGCTTATGTTAACAATTTTTAAAATGTCTATACGATTATCCTCTTTGTGTACACTTTTTTGTTAACAATTTTTAAAATGTCTGAACATATAAATATCGACAACATATTTTCATATGAGATTTATATGGTATGTTTGGAACGTGTCATGATATTATTTTTTTGATATTGGTATTTAAATTTGGGCACATATTACTTTTGTGATGATTGATATTAGTTTGGAATATTTTATAATATATCAAATTTTTTGACCAAAACTCATATAATCAAGGGTAAAGTACAACCACATCTCTTGAGATTTGGCAAAATGACACTCAAATGAAATTTACCTATTTTTTGGACAAAAACACCTCCTGGAGGTTCAAAAATGGACAAAGACACCCATTTACATAAGAAAAAAATAATAATAAACAAAGGGGAAAAAAAATAATAAAACAAAGGGAAAAAAAAAAACAAAAAAACAAAGGCATGCATAAAGTTAAGATGTATAAAATTATATTGGTACCTATTTTCTTTTATGTTGGGAAATGCATAATATTTGATATATAATTTAAGATGCATAAAGTTATACTCGTACTATATTTTTTATTTTTAAGGAAAAGAGATTGGTTTAATTTTTTAAAATAAAAGAATTAAGCATCTTAATATAAAAATAAAAAAAGAAAAAGAAAAGAAGTAATAACAAAATATAATTTATTTGAAATATATGTATTGAATCAAAAAAATCATTTTAGACGTTTACATTTTTAAGAAATTGGGACATTTATAAAGTAAATAACCAAAATAAAAAAATAAAAAAAATGAACAATATAAAGTTTTATTTTTATTTTATTTTATTATTATTATTTTTATGCATAAATTATTCATGAGGGTAGATTGGTCCAACTTATTAAAGTGTAAAGTTAAAAAAGTCTCCTAAAGGGTCAAAGGGTAATTTGGTCAAATTTTCATGTAAAGAGGTGTCTTTGTCTAAAAAATAAGTAAATTTGTCCTTAGTTTCTTTTTTGTTAAATCTCAAAAAGTGTGGTTGTACTTTACCCTATAGTAAAATTGATAATTTTGTGTGTTTTGATATTGTATCGAAAAAATGTAAAACAAATTTTTAAATTTTTTAAAACAAATTTTGATTACCTGATTTCGAAATCTACCTCAAACACCATAAATCACATCCCATGCCAAACAACTCTTAAATAAGGAAGATTTAAATCAATAACTTACTTTTTAAAATTATATACTCTCTGTCCCATTTTGGTATATATATATATATATATATATAACGGGTTTATTAAGATGCGATGAAAACTAAAGTCTTTGAAGTTTGAAGTAAAAATATAAGGTAAAATGGGCAACAGAACAAAAGCTTAGTCACTGAATGGATGCGTGGAGTGGCATTAGCATACTAGTAGCCCCTTTTTAGCCCCAACCCTCCCACAAGGAGACAAAATGAATCTCCAACGATTTATCAATTTGCGAGCCCCAACTTCAATGACTCCACGATTTCCCATATGATTAGACCATAGAGAGAGATATTATATAATACCATATAAATATATATAGAGAGAGAGAGAGATATATATAGAGAGAGAGGAGCGTTATTTTTGCCCTCACCCATTCCTCTTTCTCTCGCCTCTTTATTCTGTTTTTTGTTCCCTTCTCTCTCTCTCTCTCTCTCTCTCTCTCCCTTTGTTGTGAAGAGAAAGAAAATTTTGCTACTATCAGTACTATTTAAGTCTTTGTCGGCAGACTTTACGCTTTGACCACGATAGAAAGGAGAAAAGCCAGTATTAGGGTAAAAAAAGAAAAAATATATACTGCCTATATAAGGAGATAAAGAAGCCTATTAAAAAATAAAATAAAGATAACCACTTTATATACCACTTTAAAAGGATTAAAAATGATTCCTTTTAAATGAATATATCAGATAAACTCGTTTTTTACTTTAATCTTACAAAGAAAACTCATTGTAATTTGTAAATAAACCTTTTTCAGAGTTTGTCTAGTTAAAGAACGAATGTAAAAATGACATGAATATAAATAACATGCATGGATTATTTGGGTATCCAATTACCATTTTGATCATAGTATTTCAAATTATCTATCTAATTTTTCCATTATAATGAAATAAAAAATAAAATATATATATTTGCCATCTCCAATTCAGCACACTAAACACATAATAACATTCTTTCTTTCTTTTTTAATCAAATATAATGGTGTCCCACCTTCTAAAAGTCCTCCAATCTCCTGAGTTACTATGCCCCTTATAATGTCCCAGACTATTCTAAATTTTTTATTCTGTATGTACCAAGCAATTATCAATAAAAATTTCTTAAAAATGATTCTAATATTAAAAAAAAATTAGACCTGTAGAAGTCTTTGCCATCACATTCAATAATAGGACTTACTAAAATAAAACACTTCTATTTTATTTGAAGAACCATTAAAGAAGTAGGGATAAAACACTTTTATTTTATTTGAAGAACCATTAAAGAAGTAGGGAGTCTTTCTCAGGCAAGTATTTTGCTTAAAAAAAAAAAAACACGTGAATTGATTTACTTAAAGTAGATAACAAGAAAATAAAAATATGATTTGCGTATAAATACATAATACATGAATTCTGATTCTTCAAAATAGTTGTTTGATATTTTGAGTGCAGTACCACTACACTAAAACACATAGATACAAATATATGTACTAATAATCTTCTTTCATTTGCACAGAAAGATGACCTTTACAGACTCAGTACCAGTACTAAGGCCCCATCTACCACTCACAGGTCATCGTCAATAACCTTTTGACTCCTAATAATAATTTTTTTTTAATCTCTTTTTCTGAATATTTTTACAGAGAAGAAGAAAGCTGAAGGCCACAACTCATTTCTGCTCATTGCCATACTTATCAGAACAACACTACTGATAAAACATCATAACATTAGGTTTCATTTTCTCCTTTTGAATGCTTTTTTTTTCCGACTTTCTCACCATCCAAACACCAAAGTCCAAACTCTTCAAACGCATGCAAGTCTCGTCGCGCCTTCCTCTGCAGAACAATCGTTTGCCATATTCAAAGATTTCTCATTCGACGGATCACTCACTGACCGCGATAAAGTCGACGACTCCAAATCTAATAGGCAAAAAAAATAAAATTAAAAAATAACTAAGCTATAGATAAAACATGTTAGAGTGGTGTATATATGTGTATGTGACCCTGTGTGTGTATATATAAACGTGTGTATGTGTGTGATAATTTCACATATAAGTGGAAAATTTTGAACTGAGATCTACATTTGAAATACTACCTCTGGATGCATTAAACGATCTCTTGCAGTGTAAAATGGCGCTTTGAATGCCATCTTGTTGCTGCAACAGCGAATCGTCGCGACGATTGGACTGAACAGACACAGGAGCTACCGCCGGCGAGGATGCCGATCGGCTTTTCCCTAAATGCTTACACACCACACGAAGTCCGGCCGGTAAATTCACCTGTTTCTGACTCTTCAAATTGTTCAGTGGCGGAGCTTCGGATACTTCCGGAGGTTGTGGCTCGCTCTTTGCCGCCGTTGATTTGACCGGAGGAGATTTCGGAGGCGCGGTTGACGGCGGCGACGGTGCAGGCTTCGCTCCTCCCGATGAACCGAGGCTCAACTGTCCCGAAAGCTTCAGCTTCTCACCATAGCGTTTCGAAACACGAATGTAGAGAGGCTTCACCATTTTCAAGTACCTCTGCATCACGTCCTTGGAGAATCGCTTGTCGTCGGAAATCGTCTCATCTGAGCTCTGCTTCTCAACCTTATTACAAGCCCTAGAACTGTTGTCTCTTGTGAACAGAGACACGATTGGTACTTCTTCAACCTTGAATTTAATTGTGAAAAACTTGTTCTGTGGTTGATTTTGCTGCTGTTGTTGAGACTGATCTGGTTGTTGATTCTGTTGCTTTGGAGTCGCCGAAGTAGAGCCATCATTCTCTGTTTTCTCATTCTCTGTTTTCTCAGTAGCATTAGACTTCGATTTCTTGAACTTCAACATCAAGACTCGAAACCTGGTAGCAGATTTCAACAGAGACACGGGAAACTGCGACTTGGAGTTCGGTTCGGAACTGTTTAGCACGATCGACGACGACTCGATCGGAACGAGCCGTCCTTTGAAGAAGAGATCGTCGGACGGTGAAAGCGAGACGTTTGGATCCGTACGGTCACCGCTCGAACCTGAGGACAAGGTAAACTTGAATTCTCTGTCATTTTCATCGTCAGTTGCATCAGAATCAACATTGTCACCATCGCCGTCTTCTTCGCCGCTGTCGGCTGAGTTGTCATTACCATCATCTTGGTGTTTCACTTGTTCCTCTTCGTCAGGTACGGAGAACTCCAAGTCGAAGAAGGGACCGTCGTCATTGTCGTCTTCGTCGGTCTCGGCTGTGTTATCATGACTTACGGCGGTGACAATGGTTTTAGTGGCGGCGGCGGTGCGAGCAGTAGGACCGGCGTCTAATGTGACAGAAGCTCCGCCGCCACCACCTCTCCAGTATTTGAGCAAGCTAAAAGCTTCCATAGTTGGGAGAGCCAGAATACAAATTGCTGGTAAAGTGAATTCTTCTGTGTTCTTTTTAGAGAGAGAAGAAAGCGAGTTTAGGGTTTGAGAGGTAGGCTTGTTTGTTTAATGGGTTTGAGATAGGTGTGGTGAAAATGGGAGTGAAAGAAAGAAAGCGTACAGAGGCAGAAGAGGTCAGCTTTTAGCAGAAAATGGGGAGAGGGACGATTCGCTTTTATTTGTCTGTTTTCATATACTAGTGTCATATATACTACGTGGTTGCAGAATAGTCATGTGAGAGCAGTCTGACTGTCAGATTTATACATATACTATATCCATGTATAATGTACTGTAAAGTATATATAGTTATATACTTTTATTTATTTATTTATCTGTATATAGTTATATACATAGAGTGAGAAACCCGGAGTCAAAGAACAATAGATATTTTGGAAAAAAGGATATGGAATATATAACAGAGATATGTAAAATATTAAAAATAAAATAATATAAATGTATTACTGTATTATATAAATAATTTTTTTTTTTTTTTTTTTTGTTTTCTAACGCTTTTATCTTTTTTCTAATTAATTCACATTGGTCTACTATTAAATTCACCTTTTCAAAAAGAACTTTAGGTATATTAATAATTGGGAAAATGCAAAAGAAATGTGGGTATATTGATAATTGGGAAATTGAAGGATTAGTGGGTGGTGTAATTGTTGGGTAGGAAATTGGTTAAGGAATTGTGAGCAATAAATAATAACAATTAACTCACATGGGAGTTATTTAGAAAGTAGGGTCTTATATTAATTTCAAGTTTGAAGCTTAAACATGTGATGTACAAGTTTAACCTGTGAATATCTAGCCGGTTAAAGTTTTAGTCAAAATTATTCTCTATTCATAATTTTGTTGTGGTACAGAGGAGTGAGTGAGTGTATTCAGTATTGTGTGAGTGACATTTTAGTGTAAAAAGCATCAAAGAGAGGTGGAGTCGGACCTAACCCTGAGGTGTAGTAGGTCCTGAGTCCTGACCCTCTGGCTAACCCACTTTACTTTTGTGGAGGAAAAAAAGCAGGTAGTAGCTATGGACAGACTATGGTATGGTTCTTCTGCTGCTGTGACAAAACCCAATTGGGTGATTTTAGTATTGAAGACAAAAATACTAATTGAGTGGGTCCCACAGGGCTTTTGACCTTCAGGTTTGCAATTGAAAGGGAATCGGATTGGATAATCCTAAGCCATTCTTTTGAGGGCTTTGGGAGATGACGTTTCAACCAAAAACAAACAAAAGGTTGGCACATGAAAAGTAAAGGGTATTTATTATCATCTTTATTGTGTGTGTGTGTATATATATATATATATTTGTAAGCAAGTACTATTGCTTTTATATTTCACATCATAAGATAATGGTAGAGAGAGAGAGACCCACCATCTAAATGGAGGTCAGGGATGAGCTTTTGAAAGTTTAAATGATAGTTTTGATTGCAACAATGCTTCCAAGAGCTGGTGATGTAAATGGTGTTATGGCGAACTATAACTATCCAGATGGGGTCCCCAGGTATGATATAAATAAATGAGGGCTAACTACCAAACCATAAGTTTGATTCAAACGAGGGCCTCACTTGCATCAATTCAATCATTTTCATTTTCATGCTTCACCCCTCCTTTTATTTGGAATGAGTTGAGAAGATATTAGCCATGTAAAACAAATAAAATGTTCAATTTGGGTCCACTTAGAAGTTATAATGGACCAAGTCCGGACTAAATTGGTGGGTGTCCACCACGTGGTTTGACAATTCCGGAAGGAGCCTTGATGCTCTCAAATTCCATGGTTAGTTAATTTTTTTGTTTTCCATTTTTTTTAAAGCATGTTTTCGAAATTCAAAAGGCTACAGGGAAGCTTCTTTCCTTATAATTTTCTCTGGAAAAAAAATATTTAAAATTTTTTTAAAATTATAAATATATTTATTTTTAAGTCCATTTTTCAAGTTCAAATTGAATCTTTTTATTGATAAAGACACAAATCACACATTTACTTTTAATTTTATAAGGACTCGAATCCTGGATCCGAATTCCCTCCTGTGGTGAAATTACAAGACCTGTTCGTTAAAACGTTGACATTTGGAGGCATGATATTTGCCTATTTTTTTAAATAACGTGTTTCGTTTTTGGAATATTAATCAGCCCTCGAAATAAATCAATGTGATGAAAACTAATTGAATAAAATTAAAGGATTTTTAACAAAGAAAAACAATGTGTGGATTATATATATATGTGTTTATATATATGTTTTTAATTTAGGAGTGTATTTGAAAATATATATTAATTCTTATTCAGATTAGATTTATACATATAGATTTCGGTGATGGTGATCAAGATATATGCGGCTACAGCTACGGAGATTGTTGGGGAGGGGTGGTGGTAGCTAAGAGGTTCAGAGGGAGGTATGATAGTCATCGTTAGAAGGTGGAGATGAAAGCAAGGTGGAGGCTAGTAAAAGAAATAACAATCTAGGTTGTTTGTTTTTTTTTTATTTTTTCACAATGATGATTGACCTTGCATCTGGATGCGATTTGCAGTTATTTGAACAAGTAACCAGGTATAGAATATGCCATTTGGATCACAGAATGACTCCCATCACAGCATTTCTTCTTTTCCAGAGGACCGATGTTTCTGCCATGAATCCCAATTTTAATGCAGACTTGAAAAGAAAAAAAAAAAAAAAAAAAACTACATATATACTCCCGAAAAACTGAATATGTTGGTGTTCGAGTTCATGGGTAAAATTAGACTAAAACCCAGTGTAACCCATGTACAATGGGTCCATAGTTGCAAACTTACAATATACATAATAATCTTTTACAATGAAGTCACACACAACCTATATATTATTACAACACAGGAAGCAGTCAATGCTAGTGTAACACACTTAATTCTATTTTACAAACAAACATATCATCACACGTACTAGAGAACTAGCAGTACAAACTTAATTCTATTTTACAAGAAGTTATCTCCTCCTTACTGTAATACAGCACACCTAATATAGAACACATATATATATGTATCGTGTTACAAGCTCGTTCTATTTCACGGAGAAAACAGAACCAGTTTGATCATGTTCTGCCAGTGTAACTACCTCATAGATTGGAATGTTAGGTCTCTACTCATGGCTCTTATAGGAAGTATGACAACTGCTCCTTTTTCCTTGAACCTCCTTCTCCATACAAATCATTCCATTGCTTCAACTCGGACATAACCGATCCCTCAGCTGCAAAGCTGGCTGCAACCTGCATCATCGAGAGAATAAAGTGAGCATCAGCAAAAAATATCGAAATCCCACCAACTCTCAAGTCTCAACACTATGTTTGGCCGTTTTTTTTTTAGGGGCGTGCCAAAGTCTTTCGACCCAAGGGGTTGGATAGCCAAACTATCCTTGGTGCTAAACAAATATGAAATCAGCTCTTAGTGAATCAGGCGACTGCTGGAAGGCAAAGATGACCCCTTCCTTCAGGTTCTTCAACGCCTCAATAAAGAGGACTTTCAGCACTATATGTAAAATGGATAAAGGGAGTAAAACAAATTACACGAGCATTCATCTATTCCAAGAGACTTAGAAAATAAAAGTAGAGGGGACTGAAGCCAAGCGTCGACTTTTATTTCATAAGTAAAATTCCCATACAGAGTACAAGAATTATAAATCTAACACTAGAGGCTACTCCTATGAACAGAAGTAAAATACAACTTAAAGGCTGAATGAAATGGCAGAGAATGAAAAACATCGATAAAGAAAATACTACATTATAAGAAAATGCATTGCGTTGGTCGGGGACCTTTTGCACATAGTCCTCTTCTTCTATTTATAGTTGAGGCTCCAAACAGTTACTAAAAGAAGTTTCTTTTTCAAATTCAAATATTATATTTGAATTAAACAAAAACTTCCTTATCCAAATACACTTCATTTTGTCTTAAGCAAATCCATTTACCGCTTATCCAAATGAACGTATTTTTTTTGGAATAAAATTGTCGTAGATGCAATTTGTAACTTAGACCCTAATTTAAATAAGAGTCCTATTAGTAACACAGTATATGTCTTTTCCTCCAATCAACCAAAACCACGTGTTTGAATAAAAATTTATTTTATGGTGAAAACACACTACTCAAATTCATGATGTAAATACAAGACACTCTAGAGCATCGGTGTCACTGACACAAGTTGGAGCATTATAACAGCTATTCTGTAAAATATCAAAAGTTAAATCTTCTTAGTTAGAGTCATCCCGACAACAACCTTGCCAGGACCAAAACTTAACTATGCCCTTTAATCTTGCAAAGCCTACTCAAGTTTCACCTCGGCTACATTATCTTACCGATAATGAAAATAGTACTGATGAAAATGAAACAGTAAAATCTACGATGCAAAGGGGCATCAAAGGTAAAACAAACACGGAAAGCAAGGAGAAATTCAGTCAATCTAGTAAAGCCCACACAGGTTTGCCTTCTTCCACACCTCAATACTCACTGTTGCAATATAGGCTACTACTTTTTTCTGTTCCTAGTGACAAAAGAAACCAAGCTATTTCTTGTGGGGAAGAACTTTGCTAGTGACAAAAGAAACTTACAATACATCCCATAAAATGGCTAAGATTGAGAATTTACTTGATTTTTCGCCTCCTTGAAGTCCTCCATGTTCAACGGCCTTATAGTTATGATTCTTTCCTCTTCACTTTCTTCGGGAGCGTCTTCAGAGTTTTTTCTATCAAAACTTCTCTGCCTTTTCTCCTGGGAAGTCAAATCATCATTAAAATTCAAATGAGAAACACGAACCTCCAGGGAATCAATGCAGTCTGGTATGTAGATTAAACGAGGCAAAAGAAAAATGAAAGGTAATTAAATACAAGAAAAAAGAGAAGCAAAGGAAAACATTTTTCCTTGTTCATTTCCCTCTAATTACCAAATCATATTAGATATTGTTATAATAAAATTGGTTGTAAATAATGAAAAAGAAAAGGAAAATCACACGTAAAATAAATACTTTTCCCTAACTTCCCCTTCTAATTCTTGCCCCTCTATTTTTTCCATAGTAATCCAAAACAAGAGAGAATGATTTCCATTATATTTTCTTTGCCAACCCTAAATCCGAGAACGGAAGTATCAGAAATGGTAGTGAAAATGAACAGCTTATAACAAATTATATACTTACAATATCCTTCAGCCTTTCTTGCTGTATCAACTCCCTAACTGGCCGGTAAGCAGCCGTTGTGCACAAGTTCTGCTTTCAATAATTGTGTCAAGAAATCAAAAAATCCGCCATATCCCGTTATCACCAAAATAAGAAAGGAAAAAAAAGAAGAAGAAGAAGCATCATATCCTATGGCAAAAATTAAATAAGTACAACCTTCAGATCACTTCCACTATATCCTTCAGTCATAGTTGCAATCTCCTTAAAGTCTAGGCCTTCATCAACTTTTTCTTTTGCCAAGAGAGTTTTCATAATTCTTTCCCGGTTCTCCACAGACGGTAAGCCAACCATGATTCTGTTGATCATGTTAAGATAAACAAGTTAATATTCAAATAATATTAGTACTGCCAGTAGCTCATTATAATGAAAACTTCATGTAAATAATGCCGGAAATCATCCCAACAATATATTTGAGATTATATTGTATTAGTAGTGTTTGCACAAATAAAATGTGGTAATATATTTGGTTTTACACAATAATATCATGAAAGCAATCCATACCAATTACACCACTTGGGAAAAAGTAATGGATATCTAACATGCAACAGAATTGAACTACATCAGAGTTGATTCAAGTTAGCATTAATAAAGCTACCATTCAAATAAATTTAGTTAGGAGTGAAAACATAAAATAAAATAAAAAAATTTGGTTTTCCAATTATTTTTCTTTTCACTCCTTGCCCTATAAACTAACGAATATGAACATGAATCAACCTTATCAAGTGCTAAAAAATCATATTGTCACACTGCATAAATATGCAAAGTTACCTCCTCTCGAAACGTCTAATAATTGCTTCATCGAGGTCAAATGGCCTATTGGTCGCAGCAAGAACAAGAATCCTTTCACCTGGTTTTGTCATGAGCCCATCCCAATGAGTCATGAACTCATTCTTTATCTTCCGCATGGCTTCATGCTCCCCAGCTCTCGTTCGCTGCCCAAGCATGCTATCGACCTCATCCACAAATACAATAGTAGGGGAGACCTTGGCTGCAAGAGTAAACAGTGCTCGGACATTCTTCTCATCTTCACCAAACCATTTTGAAGTAATGGTAGACATGGACACATTGATGAAGCTTGCTCCAGCCTCCCTGGCAATTGCCTTGGCCAGCATGGTCTTTCCAGTACCAGGGGGACCAAATAGCAATATTCCTCTGCATGGTTTTAAAAGGCCTCCCTTAAAAAGGTCTGGTCTCCGAAGAGGTAGCATCACTAGTTCCTGAAGAGATTCTTTAATCTCTTCCAAGGCACCAATATCAGCAAATGTCACCCCAATCTCGTTCGCGGGTATGACCTCTGGCCTTATGCGCTTCTCAAATTCATTGTCAGGAGCAACGTCCTACAATAAACGTCAACCTTAGTTGAGAAAGGGACTGCAGAAATCCATGGCATCCATTAACGATGCGTAAAGTGTAAGTTTAGCATTGGCAAGCTTTAGAGTCGTGTGAACATGCTCAGGAACTAAAAAAGAAACTAACAAAAAGGAAAATGAAAGAAAAGAAAGTTGAAGGTCGAACAAAGTATTCAAGGGTTACACTAAAAGAAAATATGTTTAAATGATTGTTCATGGTTCTATAGTACTGGCAGAGAATGAGAGTTGGAAATAACAAATCTAAGGCATATCATAGACTAACCGAAACTTTTGATGCTGGAACTGGATTATGCCCATCCTTCACCGTTGAAGCTGATGCCACTGCTTCACTTTTGTTTCCGGGGACTCTGCTTCCAGATTTTATTTCCGGCTTCACACCAGGTGCATCCTATAAGAAACATAAAAGGCTCATAAGCAGATCATATAATACTTGTTACATAACGATCAGATTGTTGAATAAAAGCAAGTGTGACAACCTCCAGCTTTAGAGCGTTCTTTCCACCAGACATACCACCCTGGAATACCCTCAATCCATGGGACAAACTGTTTCGATCATGTCCAAAACAGCAAATCAAGGAAAGGTCAACAGTAAAGAAACCATTAAATAATATGCTAATCTAACCTTGCAGATGAAATAACGAGTTTTCCATTCCTATATTCAGGATCCTTGTTATGCGTTAAATGATAAGAAATTGCTGATACCACAATTTCTTCTATGTATTTACTAAGAACCATCGTGTCTGACAAGCAGATTGTATCCAAATCGTCCGTGTCAAGGTCATTGGCTGCAAGAACTTCAAGTATGTGGTTTTTGTTATCCTGATATTTGATCATCTTCATATCTTCCTCCAGTTGAGACTTCCAACTAACAAGATGAGTTTCATCTTCGGGTGGCTGGATTTCAATATTGTAAGGGAATAGCGAAGTAAGCCTCTCATCTACCTCTCTGTAGTCACTACCAGGATCTAAAACTCGGGAACCAAGGATCAGCACTGATCCGGACATCCTCTTGAACATTTTCTGGAACATGATGTATGTCCTCTGCGATCTAAATAAGAGCTTCTCTATATCCCTTAAATACAGAACAATGGGGTCGGTTTTTGATACAGAAACCAGAACCTGTAGGTGAAATCAAATTGTTACTGCCAATCCACAACTTCCCAAAGTCCTGGAAGCTACATGATTAACTAATTAAATATCTACAATGGAAATATTATCAATAAAATGCAAGTAAAAAAAAAAAAAAAACAAGCCAAAAACAACAGAATGCACAAATTGGCTCAAAAGATTATACCTTATAAAGCGCATGAATGAAAAGCTTGTCATCAAAAGCCCAGCTGCTTGTGCGCTTAAGAGGAGCTAAAAATTAGAAATAAGCATTAGTGAAAAGAACAACAAAGCAGTTTAAGTTTAAAAAATTTATCTTGTACAACGGTTGATTAGTCCAAATTAAATAAAAGATTCATGTGGTAAATAGTATGAAAACTATGAAGATCTAAAATATTTCGTATTGCATAAGATATATGCCAATTTAAAACTTTGCCTGAATGCAGTACAACTCCAACAACCTAACACAGAATCCAAAAACAAAGAAAAGAATAAAAAAGAAGATATAAAGATAAATTATAGCTGATCCCAAATATAAATAAGTATAGATTTGCTTATAATAAGAGGCTTAAAAATCCTCTTGTTAAAGGGTTCCCTTCATTTATTCTTCCTCTGATTTCAACAACACATGTTACTACCAAAGAGCTCCTTGCACATATTATTTAGCACATACAATCACTATTCAAAGATAGGTAACTGCATATTTTTTCCTGGTAAATAGAATCTCTCTCAATAAAATGTTCTAAATAATAAAATTCTTCATAAAAACCTGGATTTGCAGAAGTGCATTGCGAAACGAAGTTATCCATATTAGCTGAATCAGATGCATTTCTACGAAGCCTCGGAGGATTAGAATATCCTTCTATTCCCCTGCAAATAAAGGCAAATGAGAGAGAGAAAAAAAATGTAACTACAAAAAAGGAAACCTAACACTGTTTAAAATCGAGAACTATTTATCACGCTATACCTTGATCCAAAATCTACAACACTGCTTTGTCTACGTAATTTGCCTGCAACAAACACTTCTTAGAGATACAAAATATGGAGAAAAATAGAGAAATACAATTAAAGTAATGGATCTACACTAAAAATTGTGAAGGAAGTGCAATATGAGACTACCCACACTCAAATACAAGGAGCAAAAAGAAAATATTTTTCTAACAAAATTACCAAAAATGAAATTCAAAATTTGGATAAAACTTTAAAATCCTAGCACGGTGACCGCATAGAGATATATTTTAGCAGCCACAACATTTCAGTATAATACATCCTAGCACCTACAGGAGATATTGCTTGTGTTTGAAAGTGTTTTTAAATATATAGTTATTTTTATAAATAATTTTAATATATTATGTCCCTAGTTTATATCAAAGTAGCCTAGTGGTAGATTAGTTGGTAGATGGAGACTAAAAAGTATGTTTTTTTTTTTTTTTTAACACAAGAGATCACCTGGGTTCAAGTCAGGCGAGAAAGCTGAATTTTCACTCTTCATCAGGCCATGATCAAAACGATTCGGTCTGATCACATGAGACTCTTGGGTTGCTCAAAAACTTACAAGCCGTCCATCATGGGATAGTACGTCGCAGATGGAGCGATCATAACCGTCCAATACGGAAAGTGGGCTGACCTTTGGGCTTACTGATTAAATGCTACATTCACATAACTCATAAATTGGACCATTGATATGAGCTGTCCATCATGGGATAGTGGCAAATGGAGCAATCATAGCCGTACAACATGGGAAGTGGACTGACCTTTGGGCTTACTGGTTAAATGCTACATTCACAATGCTCATAAATTGCACCACTACAAAAAAAGGCATGAGGTGAGCCCATTGTAATATGCCACACTTAGATTTGAGAACAAATTTAGTCTGTTTATGATTGCTTCTTAAAATCACTTTTATTATGAAAAATTGAGTTTAAATATGTTTTTGTAAGCATTAAAAGCGCTTTTAATAATTATCAAATTTAGCTCACTAGACTAAAGTTAAAAATCTAGCTCAGTAGACTAAAGTTAGAATTTGTAGTTTTTTCCTTTAGGGTCAGTTTGGTTGGATGGGTTTGAAGGGAAAGGGAAGGGAAGGGGATGGAGGGTAATAAAAAAATTGTGTTTGGGTAAAGTTAGTGGAGGGAAAGGGAAGGAGAGGGAGGGGTTTGGAGGGTTATTTATAAGCAACGTACAGTAATTTTTTAACCTTCCAAAATTGGGAGGATAAGGAAGGAAAGGGAAAGCAATGGCATACAAAATATTTGTTAAGCCAATTTTACCCTCAAATTTGCTCTTCATATTAGGGCCTGTATTATTGGCCTGCATACACCAACTCTCGGGATTTCTCAAATGCCCAAGAGAGCCGGCTCCAGCAATTACTTGAGGCGGCTCCAAAAAAAATGTGGAGCCGGCTCTACAAAAAGGAAGATCCGGCTCCACTCGGCACCTCTCAAAAACCCATAAGAGCCGGCTCCATGATCATGGTTGAGCCGGCTCCCTTCAAGTGTCCTATTCCCATTATATCTCGGCACTTCCTAATTTGGGGTCATTATTTGCAAGAAATTGGTGGATCTGTATGTTCGATCCACTTCATGCCTTGGGTTGTTAAGTTTTTTTTTTTTTTAAATAAAGTCAGAAAGAACCTAACTTACTGTTTTATGTTGTTGATCATCATTGATTACATTTGTGATCAAACCCCTCTCACCCAAAAAAGTAAGAAGCCAAATTTAAAGATTAAATTAATGATTATTTTTTTACTTTCTCTGTTGTTACTTGCTTGAAGGAAGATCTAGTAATTGGGTTTTCTATGCGATCTGTTGATTGTTTCAGTACTTACCAATATGATTATTTCATTGACTTTATTATTGTTTTGTTGATTTTATCATCTTTTTTGTTGAAGGAAATCAAACTTTTAATAGGAAATTCATTTGTGCTCTTGAGTATGAATGTTATTTCAACTTCATTTTAGGAATAAAAGTGAGTTACATTTTATTTATTTATTTTTTATTTTTGGGTAAATTGCATTTCTTTTTCTTTATTTTACTTCTGCCATCTAACATGACATAAAATTGGTTCCCAGAACAATTTTTCTTGAAAGGAGCCGCCTCCCATTTTGGGAGCCTGCTCTACTCATATTGGAGCCTCCTCTACTTAAAGTAGAGCCTGCTCCATTCATATTGGAGCCTCCTCCACTTTTACTTGAGCCGGCTCCTTTTATAAGATTTAGCTTGTTTTGTGTCCTACGACACAAAGCAAGCAATTAAAGAAGATCTACACTAGTTTTGTCGAAGACTTTTACATTCTTCTCAATATAGTTTAAGCAACCATCATTGGGTACAAATGCAGCGATCTTCTTCCCATTCTTAATCAGCTGCACACGAGCAGATTTTCTCATGGCAGAGTTGGGCTGCTTAGCCTCAATACCACTGCATAAATTAGTTAAGTGCTGTTGAGTTTTGAAATATTGATTTGGAAAGAGAAGATAAATGTGGCATTTGCTACCAAACTGAGCCTTAGAACCGAATCTTGGGGTAAAAATATTGTTGCATATTTAAATCTAAAAATTTATCTGTTAAAATATATAAAGGGCATAATAGTAATTTTTTTATTATCCTTCCCTTTCCTTTCTTTTCCCAAACATGATTGTTATCCTTCCCTTTCTTTTCCTTCATTAATCAACCAAACACGATTGAGGATTAAACTCATCCTTCCCTTCCCTTTCCTTCCCTTTCCCTTATAACTAATGTTATCCTTTCCCTTCAAACCCATCCTACCAAACATAGCCTTAGAGTAGAGATTGAATATTTTAAGTAACTCTTTTTCATTAGACAATTTTATCCGTCCATATTTTATATAAAGTTGCTATTACCAAATAAAGTAACATCATATTAAAGTATATTATTGTATAATTAGCAATAGAAGTGTTTTTAAAAAATATTGTTATCAAATAAATTAAAAAATAATTTAAATGTGAAAAGTACTTATTATAATGTGTCATCAAATACCTAACATTTTTTTTTTTAATAAGTAAACAAATACCTAACATGTTATCTTTGGGGAAAAAAAAAAAAACACCTACCAAGTTTTTTACGGACCACAATTTTTTCAACTCTTCCAAACGGATTCTAAGAAAAGAATTCTGTTGAGAGGGTGAGAAATCCGGTGAAATTTCGATGAGGTTTCAAACGACATGCTTGAATTCCGATTAAGGTCTGATGAGGTTTTCGGTAACCATGTCCGGATTCTGACGAGGCTTAGATTAAGATTCTGGTCGACAAATCCAGATTCCGGTGAGGAACCGATGAATCCATATTCAGGCGAGGACCGGATTCCAACCTTCTTGGATTCTGGCCAATTTTTTGGTAACAAAATTAGGGAATTATAGAAATTACAAGTTGGTAAAGTTTCCAACTAGACACTTGATATATACATATATATTTTGATATATGTGTTTGAGTTTGAATATAATTTCTTCAATTATACTTTATTTTGGGTGAATGATTGGATGAAAATGAATACATGGGTTCATAGAGGACATACAGATTATTGAATTCGGCTTATTGAATCCCAGAGATAGTCATACAATTTGATATTCCGATCACATACAGGAGAGACTTCAACTATCTTGTACACCTCTTAAGTTTTGATTTAAAATTATATTTAATTTATTAATTATGTTTTAATTTAAAATTATATTTAATTTATTAATTATATTATTTCAGTATATTATTATTTATCACATATTTATATTTAAGTGATTTTATTCTCTTACATCTGATATATTGTAATTTTTGTGATCCGGTTCCAACAGCTTTTGGCATTGCTAACAACTGGGCTGCTAATTATGAAAACATGGGTTCACCTCAAGGATAGGCAGATAATGAAAAAAAACAAAAAAAAAAAAGAAAGAAAGAAAAAGAAAAAGACCAAATATATGTCAAGCATATATCAAAAAATAATAATATATAACATAATATATACAAATCTATATATATTTGCTCATTTTACCCACATTAATATCAACATAATCATTAATTTAGAGCTTAGAGTTAGATGGGAGTTATTTTTGTTTTTTAAAACATTGTATTACTTTTCTGATTAACCCATGATATATTTTAAAATTGCATTAGAGTCCGCGGTGTTCAACTAACCCTAGGGATGAAAAACACTTTCACCTTCTTTCCTAAGAAACTTCTAGATACATAACACCAGGGATGAAAAAAAACAATAGGCTATGCAACTGAACTTGGATAAATCCTTCCCTTGCAACTATTAGGAGTTGGGATCAGGGTGTGAATTAGAATCCCAATGCGATATATATTATATATCTTATGGTGAAAAAATTAAGAATATCACTTGATGAGAGAGAGTGTGAATACATAGAGAAATGAGATAAGAAGAAAATGTATATTGCACGCTCATATCCATTGCGTATAAAAATAAAAATAAATAAATAAATCTGTTTTCCAGCGGTAAAAATAATAATAATAGAAAAAAAAAAAAAAAAAAAAAAAAAAAAAAAAAAAAAATCTGCTTCACTAAGAATAAAAGAATTTTTTCTATCATACCTACAGTTTCCTCTTTTGGTTGACGAATTGAAAATGACCCAAATAAACTAGACACACGCCCCAGTGTTGTCTCAGAAATGGACCTTTTGACAGACTGCAAAACAAAATTAAAAGAACAAACAGTATTAAGTTCACTGGTCGAACACATCTTGCTAATGGTCTTTTTTGTTATAGACAATGCAGTGGTGTAACAGACCATACAGTAATCATGCAGACAATGCATTTCCAAATGGAGGACAGAAATTTGGAGTGCCAGCTTTCCCCAACTCTTGGGATCAAAGACACCCAATTATTAGAAACCTAACATCATATGCAGAACATAAAAAGATACATGCTTGGATAAATTTGGGAAACATACTGATCCTTTGTTGACACTTCCATATTTGCTCTGGATCTGTAAAAAAACCACCAACATAAACACTAATGAAAACACACACGCACAGCAAGAACAACACAAACACGCACAGCAACAATACCACTAATGAACGAGGAACCTAGGAACATAGCAAGCTGATGAACTCACCTTCAAAGAAAAGTCAGTTGCATCTAATAACAGTAACTTGGCTTGAAAGTAATGAGCTAAGGCCTTCACAAGCATTTGTTGGTAAAGTTCTTCAAAATGTGAATGGAGCAAATAAGTTGATGAAGAAAGTAGATGCATATTAAATAAATTGAATCAGATATCAACATATATCAAATGACCAACCAGCAGGTCCTGAGAGCAAAATAGTTCGACTTGCAGGAGAAAGATTCCTTGTATGCTTAGAAAAATCAGCTTTCTTTAAGTGGACAAAAGCAGCACTTGTTAATAAGACTCTTGTCTGCTCGCTGTCATTGTAATTTAACAAAAAAAAAAACATCAGCATGAAGTGATAGTATAATAAGAGAACAGGTTCAAAAGCAAATATCTCAAGTTAAGCATCAATATATTATCATACAAGCTTACCCTTTATCTAAAAAAAATAAAAATAAATAAATAAATAAAAGAAGAAGAAGAAGAAGAAGATATTATCATACATCTATAGAATTGCAAAGATATGCCAAAAATTGCAGTTCCTTCTACAATTCAAACACTGGTAACATTTCCAAGCTCTTGCATTATTGATGCTGCTTGATCTATGTTACCATACACAAGATTTATAAATAAGTATTTTGAATCATCATTTCTGTTGGGCACATTGGAAGTTCTGATACCTGCCTGGTCAATAGTGACCCAAACAAATATACACACAATGATGACAAATCCTAATAACAGCAAGATATGAGACAAGATTTATACGTGGTTCACCATCACAAATAGGGTTACGTCCACAAGCAAAGATGATCTGTATCACTATATAGAAGAAGATTACAAATTGAAGAACGTTTTGGTTCTTCCAGAAAATAATCCCTCTTCTCACAATCAAATGTCACCCACCAAACGAAGAAAAACTCACCGAACGCTCTCAAGAAAAACCCAATAATTATATAGTTTACATAAATAAGAAAACACACCCAAAGACAAACTTTAAATATCTTTGTTGAAGATTGTACATACAAAATGATTTATTCACACAAAAAACAATATAACTTATTCTGACTCTACCCTCTCTTGATCAGAATATGTCTCTGTGATCTTTGAATCACCGGGATTTACATCTTTTGCTGCGTGTTACGCCTAATTTATAGGCCAAAGTTGCCACCTTTGGATACCTTACTTGTCGTTGGAACAAAGCAATTCATTCCTTATCAAATACTTTCCTTAAAGTTTGCCAATTGACCACCACAATTGTATAATTCAACCAATGAAATTCTGCCAAAATCCCGAAAATTTCTATCCTGTAGGCCTGGATTTAGTCAACAAATGACTAACCAAAAGAGCGCGCATATGCAAGACACATGTGAATCAATCACTAATATTTGTTATCACTTTTATATTTAGCCAAGTTATGTTGGAGTTAGAGAGTGTTTACTGTTTTACTTATTTACTTTAAGGTAATATATATATATATATATATATATATATATATATATATATATATATATAAGTGAGATGGTGTAGAAACCCTACAACCATCATATTATGTTCTCTGAAATCTCTTTTTCTCCTCCTTTTTCCACTTCTCCTCTCTAACCTTAGAAACAAATTCCCCTCACAAGCTCAATCTAACTTGGTATCAGAGTAACGTATCAAAGCCAAGAACTCATCTTTGTCAAGTTGTAGAACATCGGAAGGGGTTGACATCAGCAGCCACGTACTAACGTCATCTGACGTCATAATGATGCCAAAAAAAATTTGGGTCCGAATTTGTGCAGCTTGGATCACTTAATTTTTCTTTTTGTTGGTTGAGTTTCATCATATATGTTGCGTTTGGACTGGGAAAGACCTTTGTTAGTTGTTTATTGTTTTGTTGCATCTGGGACAACTTTTGTGGATCTAAGGGGTTTGGCTGACCTATTTTCTATACTATGGGACTATTTTTTTGGAACTTTCTGCCTTCTAAATGGTTTATTGATGCTTGGGCTGCTAAAATTTGTTCTTAACTTTGCCTCGAGATGTATCTTATCATTGCAAACCAAGTTTTGCACTTTGTTTTGAGTTTCTGATCCATTGTTGAATTTGTTCCAGCACTTAGATCACTTGCTGCTTCTATTTTTTTGCCTCCTAGTTCTTATTTTCTGGTTTGAAATTTCCTTTCGAATCTACTCTTTATTTTATTTTGACCCAAACTTTGCCATGGCTGAGAATAAATCACAACCACCACTACAGAATGATGATATGCCTAAGTCGATTACTTCGACAAAGTTGAACGATGTTAATTATCTTGCACAATTTTTTTTTTTTTTTTTTGCGTGGACATAGAAAATAAAAATACTTGACTGATGACCCCACAATTGACACGAAGTCTAAGCAATACAAGGATTGGATGTGTGAGGATTCTATTGTTATGGAATGGTTATGGCATGGTATAGGATCTTGTATTGTTACTACAGTTGCATTTTATGAATCCTTTAAGAAGATCTGGGAATCTCTTGCAGAGTCGTTCTTGCAATAGAGCAAGGTTTCTCGGGTTTATGAGTTGTATGAGAAAAAATTTCATAACTAAATAAACAGTCATGGAAATCATTATTTGATTATTACAACACCCTTAAAAATTTGTGGGATTAATTATTATAACATCGACCATTTATTATTAGAGCAACAGAAGCGTCAGTGGGAGGAATTTATGATTACTTCATTGCTATCCGGTTTAGGCTCTGATCTCCATGGCTTTATAGATTAGATTCTTGTTAGTGAAAAGTTACTTAAAGCTGTCAATGCATATTTTCGATTATTGAGGTCCTCTTTGGGACAAAGTTCCATTATAAATTCTACAGTCTCTTCTGCCTTAGGCCCTTAGTTTCTTGTAGTGTGGGTCGTGGTACTGTACATGGTGGTCGTGGCAACCATGATTTTCGTGCTGGTTTTCGTTGTGGTGGTCGTTTTAGTGGACGCGGAGATATAAAATGTGATCACTGTGGTGATACGAATCATACTGAACCTTATTATTGGGTAAAGTCTGGTAAGCCATATTATGTTTATCAAGTTATCGATGGTACTTCACAATCATATCCTCGTACCGATTTTGGACATGTAGCTTCTTATTCTGATTCTCGTGATACATTCACCACTCAACTTAGTGAGTTTATATAAATATTGCAAACTACTCTTCCACCCCCTTCCACTAGTACCTTAGCCAATTCATGTAATGTTGCGTGTGTGGCCAAGTCATCTTCATATTGGGTATTAACTCTGGAACAAGTTCACATTTGTTTGGTATATCATCTCTCTTTTTGATTTGAAATCTATTAACCACCACATTGTTTTAGTTGATGGCTCTTCTCGTCTTGTCCTTTGGAAATGTGTTCTTCACCCTACCAATTCATTATCCTTATCTTTCAGTCTTCTATTTTGCCTTTTAATTTTCTTTCTGTAAGTCAATTGACCAAAACATTACATTATTCCATAACATTTTTTCCCACATCATGTGTTTTTCAGGACCTTAGGAAGAAGAAGACAATTGGTAAGGGCACGAGAAGGATGGGATTTATTATCTGGATCCTGGTAAACCTTCATTTATTTTGTCTTTAGCCTTGAATGTTATAGTCTCACATCTTTAATGGCATTTTCGTTTAGGTCATCCGTCTTTGGCCAAGTTGAGATTAATTATTCCACCTTAAGTCATGTACTTATTTTAAAATGTGAGGCTTTTCAATTGGGCAACATCACCATAGTTCTTTTCTATGTCGTAGTCATAGTCGTCAAATTGAGTCATTTGATGTAGTTCACAAAAACATCTAGGGTCCTTCTAGAACTACCGGTTTGAATGGATATCATTATTTTGTTATATTTGTTGATGATTATTCTTGCATGACATGATTATTTTTAACAAAAAGAGGTCGGAGTTACCTCATATTGCTACCAAGTTTTATAATGAAATTCTTACTCAGTTTGGTAGATGCATTAAAGTTATTCGTTCTGATAATGCCTTTATATATAATCTAGTTGTGTACACACCTCTCAATAGAATGGTGTTATTAAATGTAAGCATCGTCATTGGTTGGATTTGGCTTGTACTTTTTATTCAATATGCAGGTACCCAAGCATTTTTGGGCTGATGCCATTCTCACGGCTTGTCACCTTGTTAATCGTATGTCATCTGCTATTGTGAATAATCAGAGTTCTTTTTCTTTGTTACATCCCAATGCCTCTTCTTTTTTTGCTCACGCCTCATGTATTTGGTTGTATGGCATTTGTTCATACCTTGACCCCAAGGCATGACAAACTATCCCCTCGTGCACATGTATGTTTCTTGGATACTCCCATACTCAGAAAGGGTACCGTTGTTATAGTCCTAAATCTCGGTGATACCTTGTCAGTTACTTTCTTCGAGTCTACAACCTTCTTTCATCGTTTGGCCAAAATTTATCTTTAGATCTTATATCTCTTCGTGAGGGGGAGCCTTCATTCTATTCTCCTATACTCTTGATGACATTACTACCACTTTTTAATAATCCATTGCAGGTTTTTCAACGATCCAGATTTTGGCCGGTTATTTTCTATAGTCCAGACATGACATTGATCTTTTCCACCAAAGGTTCTTGTTTCTCCACCCTCTAACTCTGATGATTTACCAATTGCATTACGTCGAGATAAACGTATTTGTACTCAAACATTCCACTACTAGTTTTATGTCCTCCATCTTGCACTTTTATGCTTTTACATTGTCCTCTATTTCTATTCCCTCATCTTATTAGCATGCCTTCTCCATGTCTTAGTGGAAACACATTATGGATAAGGAAATGAGTGTTCTTCACAAGAATCAGACCTAAGAGCTTATTGTTCTTCTTTCTGGAAAATGAACTGTTGGGTGTCGTTGGGTTTATAATGTAAAATATTATCCTGATGGTTCTGTTAAGCGTCTTAAGTCACGATTGGTTACCAAATGGTACACTAGACCTATGGGGTTATTTATTCAGAGAACTTTTCTCATGTAGCTTATATTAACTCCGTTCAAGTTTTTCTCTTTTTGGCAACCTATTATTCTTGGCCTTTATATCAGCTTGAAATAAAGAATTTATTTCTTCATGGCGATCTACAAGAGGAAGCTTAAATGGATCAGCTACCTGGTTATCTTGTTGCTGGTAGTGAGCACCAAGTTTGTCACTTATGCAAGGCTCTACATGGTGAAGTAGTTTCCTCGTGCCTGGTTTGATAAATTTAGCACTATGGTTATTGATAATGGTTTTGAGCGCTCTACTTTTGCTCATTCTGTGTTTGTTCATTATTCTTCTAAGGACACCATTGTCTTGATTGTTTATTTAATGATATTATCATCTTTGGGAGTGATTCTATAGGAATTATAGAGTTGAAACATCGTTTGGGTCAATAATTCCATACTAAAGACCTAGGTGCACTTCGCTATTTTCTTGGGATTGAGGTTGCACGTTCCCATCGGGGCATCTCACTAACTCAATGGAAATATGTTATTGTTCTTCTTTTTTAGACTAATCTCTTAGGTCTTAGGTGCTCGACCTGCTGATACTCCTATGGACCCTACGATCAGACGATAAACATTGGGAAGTGTTTAGTACTGATATTGGACGATATCGTCGTCTTGTTGGGAAATTAATTTATCTTATCGTTACTTGTCCCGATATTACTTATGTTGTTAGAGTGATTAGTCAATACATGCATGTTCTTCATTAACCTCACTTCGAGGTTGTTTGTCGTATTTTGCATTATTTGAAGTGTGCGCCTGGTAGTGGGTTGTTGCATAAGCCTTCTCTCTCTTTATCTGTGATAGGTTTTAGTAATACCGACTGAGCTAGAAATCACTCTAACGGACGCTCTACATATGGTTGTTGCACGTTTGTTGGCAGTAATCTTGTCACTTGGTGGAGTAAAAAGCAAATCGTTGTTCCTCGTTCTAGTCTTGTGGCCAAGTATCGTGATATGGCTCACACTACTTTTGAGATGTTGTGGGTTCGTTCTTTTCTTCAAGAGATGGATATTAATGTTCTATCATATGCTCATCCATTGTGATAATCAATCTTCTATCTTCATTGCTATCAATCATGTTTTTCACAAGTGCACCAAGCATATAGAGATTGATTGTCATTTTATTCGTGATATGTTGATGTGGCGGAAACAAATTGTTACTCCTTATGTTTGCTTAAACGATCAACTTATGATATTTTTCGGAAGCCGTTAGCTCATGGTGCCTTTCAGTGATTATGTTTCAAGCTAGGCATGTTTAATATATATGTTCCAGATTGAGGGGGAATGTTGAAGTTAGAGAGTGTTTACTGTTTTACTTGTTTATTTTGGGGCATTATTGTAAATTTTTTTATCTCAATATATATGCAAATAAGATGGTGTGGAAACCCTACAACTGTTGTATTACATTCTCTGATTTCTCTTCTTCTCTTCATTTTTCCACTTCTCCTCTCTAACCCTATAAACCAAATCCCCTCAGAAGCTCTAACTAGTTGAATATCCATTTTTTTATATGTATATTTTAAATCTGAAAGATTAATGTGTATAAGACCTGGTAAAAACAAACTAAATTCTAATACAAATTAAATGAACCATTTAAATTGGCCAGATTATATTTAACACTGCAAGAGACACATAAGAATTAATTAGTACTGACATCAGCAAACCTATTTCTGCATAGCATATAAATAATTTATTGTTTGAATTAAAAATGTCATACTTCATGTTCATGGATAACAAAATAAAGTCTCACATTGTAACTACTTCAATAATATAAGGCACAAAATATATATATAAGGGCATTTAGGGTTTGGAAAAGGGCATTGAGACTCACTGAAATCACATAAAAAAAGAGAGATGGTTTGGAGGTTGAAACTTGTAATTTTTAGATTTTCCCATAGTGAATTCTTTCGCCAGATCTTCACCGTAGATACAGGTTGTGCCGAATCATACTAAATTTTTGGGTTCTTCGCATGTGGCATGTTTATTTTTTGTTGTGATTCTTGATTTTTTTTTTTCTTAGGTTTATTATGTTTGTCGTAACAAACAAGTATCAAAGCTTTCGGTTTGAAGTAGGGATGGCGTTCAATTTATGAAAATTGAGAATTTTGACGGCAGAAACGACTTCAACATGTGGCGGGTTAGGATGCAGGCTTTATTGGTACAAAATGGGTTATCCAAAGCACTGAGGGGGAATGATGTAGCACAAAGATTAAGGACAAAGATAAGATTATGGAAAAAGCACACAATACGATTATGTTATGCTTGAGTACCGAGATTTTGTGAGAAGTTCCTGGAGAGACTACGACAGATGGGCTAGGGCCAAGTTGGAGTCTGGGTAAATGACGAAATCTATTGTGGATCGCTTCTATCTAAAGAAACAGGTGTTCACTCTAAAGATGCATGAAGGTTCTGTTGGGGAACATGATAGATTCAAATACACGAGTTGCACATGCTTCAACATTACTTTTGGAGAAAAGGGAAAGAGAAATAAAAGTAGAATTTTTTTAATTTAGGGTTTTTATACTTATTCTTATTTTTAATAATGTTTGAATTTTAGGGTTATTTTGGTATTTTTATATTTTAGGGTTTCTTTATACTTTGCCCATATAAAGGCTTTTGTAAGCAAAAATTAATTTTTGGAGATTATTGATTATTGCTTTCTTTGTTTTTCTCAGCCCCTTCTTCTAGTCCATCTCTTCTTCTATTTTCTCGTTCATTTCTTTCTTTTTGTTGCTACATGTCTTTCATTAGGTTCGGCTCTCAAAGTCCATCTTGACGAGGTAAACAGTATCATCAAAGACTTAAATAATATTGATATCAAGATAGAGGTTGTTACCGGAATTGCTATGTACATCCACTGCTAACGGACTCGAATTTGTTATCAATGACTGTTCTTGGGTCTTTTCTTGTTCGTGGAGCTTGTTGTTCTATATATGTCTCTAGATGTTGGGCTAGTTGGGCTCTAACTTGAGGGCTACTTGCCTTATGGATCACACCGTAAATTCTTTATATATTAATACATTTGCTTTACCATTCAAAAAAAAAAAAAAGAAAAAGAAAAAAGAGATAGAGGATGATGATCATGCTTTTATTTTGTTGTGTTCTTTACCACACTCGTACGAGAACTTTGTCGATACAATTATGTATGGCAAAATTGTTTTGTCCATGGAAGACGTGAAAATAGCTCTGAATTCCAAAGAGTTATAGAGGAGGGCGTTTGAGGGCAATACAAAAAGTTGTGTAGGTTGGTTGTTAGAGGGAGAACAGATCAGAAGGAAGGATCTGGCAACAAAAATTGTTCCAAGTCTAAGAACAAAACGAAAGTGTTAAGGTGCATTTTTATAAGAGAACAAAATCGTTACAAGGCTAACATTTTTATAAGAGAACAAAATCATTTGTCAGTGATCAACTCTGAAAACATCAAAAGCTGTAAATTTAAAAGGAAATATAGAGCTCATGCCAAAAGGCCGGGGCTCCATGATATAATATCACAAACAAAACCCGAGCACGGCCAAAATAAGGAATAAGAGACGACAAAAGGGCCTCAACTGCAAGTTCATAGAAGCTTTGTTCCAACTAGATGGCAAAGACATCACTCATTATATGGTTTCACTTTTAACTCATCAAATGTCACTTTTAACTTACCAGAAATGAACCAAAATTAAAGTACATTTTTTTTTAATCTACATTTAATAAAAAATAAATAATAAAAAAAGGAACCACTGAAAAAAAAAAAAAAAAAAAAAAAAAAAAAAAAAAAAAAAAAAAAAAAGTTAGAAGTCCATTCAAGTCAATAACAATCTTTCGTTCCCAATTATGAAACTTCACAAATTAAATATAGAAGGTAAATGAACTTTAGAAGATGGGAGTTGCATGTCAAACAAATTTTACTATGTGAAAGTAATTATTATACTTACACATTTAATTTGTCTTTTATGTGAATATCAGTATTTTATTCAAATATCTATTATCTAATGCCAGCTGCTACTTTAAACACCCTTACTATACTAGACAAGGCTGGATTGTTCTGCATCAATAGAATTAAGCTACCTGATACAACTTACCAGATTAACCAAATCTAGTTGTTAGATAGTTCTACAATCATGCAGTACTTCAAGATGATTCTGTTAATTATGTGACAACTCAGCAATATAATTACATGCGGTGTTGTTTTAACAAACTAATGATTCTGAAAATTAAAGATTATCTGTTTGCAAAAAAAATAAAAAAAAATTCAAATTAGGAAATCAAAGTGATCTCAATTTAAAATGAATGTAGAAGACTAATGAATGAAAATCAAGTGATCGAGAACATCAAGTAGTTCAAAACAACAAAACAAATACACATATTGCAGTGGAATCAACATCAATTTCTTTTAATAATTCCAATAATTCCAAGTATGATATAAACATGCCATAAAAAAATCTACCAAGTTATATTATGATATTATCCAATGTCTCTGAAAATATATATATATATGTAACAAAATAATCACAGGAATGGCATGCTCTTTGCATTACACAAAAAAACACTTTCATCATCTAGATCAAATCATAAAGTGCGCAAAGGATGGGAGGGAATTTGCCGGTCACCTGAGGTAGTACGGGAATTCTTCAAATGTAACTTTGCTATCTCTGCCATCAATAATTAGTTTCATCATCTCATGCTCCATTCTCTCTCCGGTGATGACATTTGCAGAGGAATCATAACCCGTCCATTTGCTTACTGTCTGACCTGAAGCCAATCCCAGACCCATTCCAACTCCTATCCCCACCCCCAAAGCCGACATCAAAACATGTTTCTGCTCCATCTCTTCTACACTCTTTTGAAACCCTAAATCTCTGAAAATTTAACCTAATAACACAAATCCCAATATAAGCAATAATTTCCTCTTCCTCCGTTTTTCGCTCAACACTCAGAACAGCAACTCAGATATTTTTCTTGTTTATGCGCCACAAGAAACCTCCTCTCTATGAGGTACCATGAATATCGTCCACAAAATATGGAATCAAAGGATCCAACGGATGTTAACTCTCATAACCTTCAAACGCTAGGCTTGTATACGAAGAACACAGCAATATTTCACGCTTTCAAAGGGAACTCAGAATCTCTCTGCACAGCGACTGATTCGAACCACCTGTGAATATACAACCGTACTTTCACGCCGTTTGTAGTATGAAGATGAACAAAATGTGCCAAAATATAAAAAATTTGATGGAAATACAAAGAAAGTTTAAGCCAGACGTTATGTTTCTTCTTTTCTTACACCAACTAAAAAGATCAACGATCCGTACGATGCTTCTCTCCGTGTCTGTCTATATATATATGTATATGTATATATATATTTACAAGTTTCTGCTTCTTTCTCACACAACAAATTTTTGTCATACGATTCTCTCTTTTCTCTCTCTCTAAAAAAATTGTGTTAACTCTCACTTTCTCACTTTCTCACTCTCTCTATTTCTCTGTCTCTCAAATTATCTCCTTTTTTTCTGGTTGATCGCTCTTTGGACCTATTAATAGCAACCCAAAAAAACGGATCTCTAGTGGTCTTCAATACTCACCATGAAAGCGGTGACGGAGGTACGGCGGTCAGCAGCGACAAGCGGTGGGCGGTGTGATGTGCAAGCGGTGGTGGTAGTGGCGTTGGGAAGAGTCTGTTCCCGCTATTTCAGGCCTCACCCCTTCGGTTTTTGAGATTTTAAATAACGAGAGAGTGGTGTGTGTGGGGGTAACTTCCGAAGAAAAAAAAACAAGAGAGTGTGATGTGGGCCATAATAATTGAGGATTCTACGTGTCGATGATCCGACGGTCGGATTTTTTATGGAAGTAAGAATTGCTGGCGTGGCGCTACGTGTCATAGGTTTTTTTTTGTTTTATTGCTTTTTTAAAAGATTCAGATGGTTACGTATTTGATGCTACAAATTAATGTATCTGTCGCCTGATGGCGCCGAAATGGTTATCCAATAATCTTTCAGCACTCGGATAGAGACGGATGATACTCTCCATTGAATGACGAATTTACCCTTTATCCATTAAGGGACTTACTTCAAAAGCTAATTATTATAAGTTCAAGCCTTACTATCACATATTTTGACGAGCAACGCTTGGTCCTGCCCTATCAAGACAAGATTTGTCCTCCACTTTATGAAAACTTGACACCTGTCCAAAATATAAAAAATGAATCATACTGAATCAAATTGGGTTATCCGGATCCACCCATCAAACAAACCCATTTTCTCTCTTCAATTCTTCCTCTCTTCTTCTCTCCAAACACCGCCGCAAGCCCACACCATCATCCGAAGCCGAGCCCTCCACCAGCAAGCTCACCGCCGATCGGCTCCATTACGGCTGAGCCCTTGATCTCAAAACCCTCTGCCAGATCTCTCTCGTCTCCACCTCGATTCGCCGCCGCAAAACTCTCAGCTCCGGAGCCTTCGTCGCCGACGGATATATATTTGCCGCCGTTGAAGGAACCACCAGAAAACCCCATAGTCTCCGGGAATCGACTCCACCTTGGCCTGATTCGAGGGATTTAGAGCTTGTGCGGCAGTCTCGATCTGTCGCCATCGCCAACGGCGATCTGTTCTCTCGCACCATCACCGCTTCAACTCTCTGCTCAGTTGGCGACCCGCCATCCAGTCACCAGATCTGTCCCGCCGGATCTGTCTCAACCGCCATCTCCATCTTCGCCAGCTCCAGAGATCATCACAGTCGGCCGAACCAGTGATCTCCGCCGGATCTGTCGCCGCTGCCGGATCAATTACACTGTCTCCGTCTTCAACGGCCACATCACTGTCTCCGTCTTCAACGGCCACATCCCTGCCGTCGCCAAACTCAGGGGTCGGAGTCACAAGAGGGATCATCTTCACGCCGCTGACTGACTTCATCGCCGATCCGATCTCAGCCGAGGATCTTGTCGCCGGCGCCGTCAACTCTAGCCCCTATATCGTCTGGGTGCTTCTCGCTGTCATCTTCTCTCTCTTGAATGATCTAAGCCCTGAAGGAGAGAGAAGATGGGTTTCTGTGATAGAGAAGATGGTTTCTGTGATGGATTTTAATCCGGGTAACCAATTTGGTTTTTTTTTTTTGGGACAGTTGTTAAGTTTTTATAGGGTCACATCAGAGTGGAGGACAAAACTTGTTCTGATAGGACAGGACCCAAGCATTGCTCTATTTTGACCACCTTGCTTCGCATTTTTTATTTTATTTTTAATTATTAATGTAACGAAACAAAATATATGTTGCGATTTGAATAGCTTTGAAACATGTTTAAAATAAAAAAAAATATCAAATTAGTGTTTTGGGTTGTTTTTCAATTGCATCTACATTGTGTCTAAAAAAAATTTAAATAACATTTTTAACTAGTCATTTTATTTTTTAAATTTTCAACACATTTATATTGTTTTCATGTTTTTATTTTTAATAATCTTGCAATAAATTTCCAAGCATTCCGATTATTACTTAACACACTCCACATAACCAAAACGTTATTTCTATTTCAAATCAAAACAAAAACACGAATAAAAAACAATTAGCAAACAGAATTATATAATTTGCACAATCCCATTCCTTCTGAAAATGAGAGCTTATGCCATCTAAACTAGTACCTATTAGTACCACCCTTCATTAGAATTGTTTCATTTTATAAGACCATCGAATTCTATAAATAAATAAAAATATAGTAGGCTGAATCATAGAATTTGATATTTTAATAAAATGAAAAGTAATATTCATTTATAATTCTTTCAGTATTGTAAAACTCTTATTTCGCCATTTTTGTAATACACTAGCTAGTATAAAACCACCATAATCTTCAAATGGTATTATCACAATTATATATGTTTATTAGTCATGAGGACATTTGCTTGATTCAATAATGATGCAACTTTAAAGTCTCATAGCCGTCACTTTGTGAAAATATGTTCAAGTTCTTCTTCTTGAAAGTTTGTAATAATTAAAAGATTATTGGTTTTTTGAATCAAACTTTTCTACCGTCCAGTTCCGCAAACCGTGATGAGCAACAATTTACGCTCCTATTACCATGTTGTCCACTCCAGAATTAATCTTTTCAAAGTGCTCAGGCATGTTGATCACTGAAAAGCTTTGTTACTGACGTATTTGGTAGCAGCATTTTAATTTTATTTTCAATTTTATCCTATTCCTAGGATAATAAGATTGAGGATTAATCTTAACCCAATATTTTAGAAGAACAATACCAGAGCAAATTTAAGAGAAACGTATTTAGTAGTGTATGGGCAACACTCACTATATTCAGCAAATATCTCATCTTTGCATTTTGTAGGGGTTCATTTTCGTAACACAATAAAATACATATAAATGGTAATATCATACACAAATCTGAGTGATCCAAATGACATAATAGAATCCGAGATGGATTGAGAGGTAGAAGTACAAACAAACTCGAGAGAGAGGGTGAAGATGGTAGTATATATTAGTATATCATTGACTCCCTTGATAAAGATGTATGGAGAAAGCAGGTTATTTCCTCATCCCTTTGTTTTGCTCTACTTTCTACTTGGCCTTGGATCACCTCCTTATATAAACCAAGTGAGAAGTTGGTTGATTTCACATGACAGCACACGTGGACCCATTAACATTATAAAATAATGTTAATTAAGACGGGTAAAAAATGTACAAGAGTCAAAATGGTATCTCTCTCTGCGAGTCAGGTCGAGGGTCGACTGGACGAGCCCTGAACTTTATCCACAAAACCAAAAACCTCCTCGTATCCCAAGTAATCCTGAGACCTGCTCCTAACTCAAATCTTCAAGTCTTCAATCTTCTGTTCGAGGTATACTGATAATGTATTAAGCGCCACGTAATTTTGACCATTGACCATTTGACCAAGCTATGAGGGCTATTGTTGATGATGTGGCGTGATGCGTTGACTGTTTGACTAAGCTATATGAGATCAGATATTTTGGACACCTGCACATTTCATACTGAAACTAAATCAAACAAACAAAGGAAGACAGTATTCACAATATTCGTGTCAGCGATCTCTCTTTCGCATTCCTCCACTAAAATCAAAAGGAAAAATGGAAGATTAGATGGATTTAACGGAACTGGGGACTCAGAGAATCGCCCATCCGCCTGTCCACTTGCTGTGTGTTGACCTGAACCACATTCCGCAAACTATGCTGGTATAGCGCAAGTAGCTAGCTGCTACTCATGGCAGACAAAAGTGATTTGTATGTGAATTACAAAGCGAGAATTCTATTTCAACAAACCCAGCCAAAAAACAAAAGGCATTCCAGAGACTATGCAAGAGTATTGAGGGCAATAGGTTCCTTGCTCGTGCAAAAATTACACCCTAGAAAAATTCTGGGTAGGATCTTCTGTATATCGAAATGTACTAGAGCACTCGCAACTGAACTAACAAGGATTGAGCACCATACAGGTATGTACTTGGTTAAGGAGGGAAGAAGGAAACCCTAAAGAAAATCTCCTCCCCACACAGGAGCGCTCACTGACAGTACCAGTGCATACATTGCTGCCGCCACCGGATCCAGTGCTGTGACAGCCAGGTGGCCAATGGAAACATAAGGCTTCCGAGAGCAACATCAAATAGCAAGTTCCCACTCAGTCTAAATCTAAACCAACCAGATGGGAGGGGACGAAACCGAGAAAGGCAACAATGAAGAATTGCAATGCCAGCAAGGCCTCAAATTACATCACTTAGAAGGATGTATAAGGCCAGCCCTCTATGTGTTGGAGGTTCCTTGCTGAAACCCACCACGTGGGATCCAAATGGAATCTCCCAAGATCTCAGAACACCAGAATGAGGCAATCCAAAGGGACATAACCTGCACCAACATAATTATTTTTCACTACTCTCTGTCTTTTATAATTGATATAGATCTATAGTAATTAAGCAGTCATAACAGCTCCTAGTTCAGTTTGACTATTAAAATTTAGAGCAGGTTTTGATTCATTAAAAATATATTCAGAATGCATAAAAGTGTTTTTAAATCAAAAAACCTAAGTTTATATGGTGAATGGGGTTCGACCATTCGTAAAACACTGCACTAGGTTTGAGCTATCGAACTTGAGTCTCAATTGATCGAACAATGCGGGATTTGTGCTTCCTTTTCTGGTTATACTTTAAAACTAATTCTTTTGGACTAAAACACTATATAAATAAATAAATAATAATTAAAAAATTATTATTTTTTATGTTTTCTAGTGTTTGATTGTCATAAAATATTTATAAAATATATATATATATATATATTAAAACCTAATAAAAATAACTCATTCATCAATTTTTAACAAATTATTTTACATATCCCATCTATAGATGGACTCAGATCTCAATCTCGACCTAGATCAACACCAAAGAATAAAAATATAAAAAAAAAAATATTTTATATTTTTACCTGTTAAATAAATATAGATAAGTCGTAGTAGTTCTTGTGGGTCTGGAACAGCAAGTGATGTTTTCGTCGCTAGTCGAGGTGGTGGTGGAGGTTGCAGATAAGGTGGTGGACACTGAAAACACCAATTACCATTTATCTTCCCATCTCTTGTAGTATTCACTCTAGCTAGCGGAAATCTGCAATAGTTCTTTTCAAGTAATTATTTCGCCTTGATGTGTATTATTTATTTTGTCTGTCATTTTCTACTTTATTCAATTTACGTCAATTGTTTTGCTTTAGTTTTACTAATTCTTTGGCCCCTGACTCGACTCTCAAGTCCTTTCGTTCTTCTGCTGTACTAAAACCAGAATCGAATTATGTTCTTTTATACCATCATGTCCACCACCATTCAACACAGAAAAAAGATGATAACAGAAAATAAAAATATTCTATTGCTTGAAAAATCCAATGACAACAATACCAAAACAAATTAAAGAGGAGAGTATTTAACAGTGCATAGGTGCCACTGTATTCAGCAAATATATCAGCCATGAATTTTATACTGAGGAGGACGATGTGTGTGTAGAACACATTACCTGTTCAACAAACAAACTACGGAAGGCAGTATTCACAATATTGACATGCAAGATCAACATCTTATTTGTGCCACCATGTCAACGATCTCTCTTTTGCAATCCTCCACTAAAATCAAAAGGAAAAATGGAAGAGAATCGCCCATATGCCTGTCCACATGCTGTGTGTAGACCTGAACCACATTTGGCAAACTTAGCTGGTATAGCGCAAGTAGCTACTCATGGCAGAGAAAATCAACCAGATTCTGTGCTTCACTGATGGAGGATCAACACAAGTGATCTGTATGTGAATTACAAAGCAAGCATTCTATTTCTACAAACCCCAGGGAGAAAAAGCCATTCCAGAGACTGTGCTAGAGTAATGAGGCCAATAGGTTCCTTGATCGTGCAAAAATTACACCCATCACACCAACCCTAGAAAAATAAGGGGGGTAGAATCTTCTTTGTATTAAAAGATGCTAGAGCACAGGCAACTGAACTAACAAGGATTATCCTTGTCTTTGTTTATGTCTCGGGTTGGAACAAATTACCATAAGTCGCCCCCGCCTACGGATTAGTCTACATTTTCCACACCTTTTACGAACAGAAGACTTTACTTTCATATTTAAAATTCCTTGCCTAAATTCTGAATCTACTTCTTGGAAGAAAACAAGTTTCTTAAAATTTTGAAGGAAACCCCTAAAGAGAATCTCCTCCCACACAGGAGCGCACACTGCCATTGCCACCGGATTCCATGCTGTAATTGATTGCTCGACACTCGATAGAGTGACAGAGGTAGAAGGCAAAAAAGGCAATAGGTCAAGGTTGAATTGTGATAACCAACTGGCCAATGGAAACACAAGGCGTCCAAGACCAACATCAAACAGCCAGTTCCCTCTCAGTCTAAATCTAAACCAACCAGATGGAAGGGGACGAAACCGAGAAAGGCAACGATAAAGAATTGCAATACCAGCAAGGCCTGCAATTACATCAGTTAGAAGGATGTGTAAGGACAGCCCTCTATATGTTGGTGGTTCATTGCTGAAACCCACTGGGTGGGCTCCAAATGGAATCACCCAAGATCTCAGAAACCAGAATGAGGCAATCCAAAGGAACATAACCTGCACAAAACATAATTATTTTTCATTACTGTGTCTTTTATAATTGATCTAAATCTAAAGAAATTAACTAGTCATAATAGCTCAAAGTTCAGTTTGACTACTAAAATTTAGAGCACATCATGGAGTTTTTACTCAAGTACACAAAATCCATACGAGAACATCAAGGAGAGAACAAAAACATTCGGAAATTTAGATGAACTTATTTTAATATCTGACTCTGGTTGTATCTTCGAATTAATTAGTTTTAAGTTGCAATTTTTTGAATCAATAACTGATATAAGAACTTAATATAGGCAAATTTCATATAAGAAGCCGAAGTCTAATTTTTTATTTTATTAATTATTTTCAAAAGTTCATATACTTGGTTATTTTGTGCAAGTAATTTGGGCTAATAGAAACTAAACCACAAAATGGAGAAAGAAAAGGGAAGAAATAAGAAATTTGTGTTGTGTTGATTTTTGTTGGTATATGCTGACTTCAATTCTTCATTGTGTAGCTCCTACCAGTAGTAATATCATAGTTCACTGTGTGTTCTTTTTTCTATGATAATGAGTAGTATAATATCGAAAGTACAAATCCTGCCTCCACAAATCATTCCCAAAACAGAGGTGTTAAAAGTAAGCCTTGTTGTGGATTTAAAACACTCTGTGAGGTAAATTAACTCACCAATGCTCCGGAGGCCAGCTCAATCTGAAGATGTAATTCCTTGGGTGGGAAATACTCTGCTTCCCTTTCAGAAACCTTTTATAAAAGAAATATGGTATTAGTTTTTGAGAAGATCACACATATCCTATTCATGTTCGTTTATCAAAATAGAAAAGCAATTCTATTAATGTTTTCATATAACTGATATTTGCATACATAATTCCATTTTGTCGGTTATTTTTGTTGAACACTGATTGAAGTTACATAGCATGAGCCACAAATTTTTTTAATACCACAAGTTAGCACAACTCTGAATATTATTATATTGCTTCTTGAAAATAGATTTACTTCTGAATGCCTCTCAAATTTATATTAGTAGTTAACAATTAATATGATTGTATAGCCATGGACAATGAGAAGCAACAATTAGTGACCTTGCAGCTTGTAACTTTACTTGTCCAAATTTGATACCTATTTTGTATTGATAAATGACTAACTAATTTGGTGGGTCGTTTTTGCCAAATCAACCCTCTGAAAAAAGGGAAAAAGCTGTATGGTATACTGGAATAATGTAATTGGGAACTTCCAAAAGAGAGCTGGAGGAAATATGATAAAAAATTATAATTAAAAAAAAAAAAAAAAAAAAAGGAAGTTGAAAAATCATTGGGATAGTACAAAAAGTGAATGGAAGATATGATATAAGCTAAAAAAGGAGGCGGCTGGGCTTGAATGGGATGACGAGAAAGATACAGTCGTGGCTAATTAGATTTTAAGGCTTTCTCAAGTTGAATAGAGTGCCCATAATATTTCAAGGAGTACAACTAAACCCTTCTTTAACAGCCATGTATGAAAAACTCACTAGTGTTATATCTCCCAATTCTCAGGAGATCACTTGCTTCTTTTTTACTGACATCTTAACCTTGATGGTAACTAATATACTTGCATTCTCTTGAATCTATCATTTTTTTTTTTTTTTTGATAAGTTTGAATCTATCATTTAAATGATTAACCAGGAAAACACTTACCTGTGGTATAGTCTTAGCCGCCCATGGCACAAACCATGGTTTTCCAATCGCATTAAACAATGCATTTAAAGCCTGAAACAACATAAAGCCCATTATTGAACACCTTGAAAAATCCAACTAGTTCCATTACATGCAAATAATTTATTTCACAGGAACACCTAAACAGTTGGATCATAGTAATAGTTATAAATTCCTTCTTGTCACAAGTGATATCATTTCTCATCCAGAACAGAAACGCGAAGAACCAGAATCTCCATTTAATATGACAACAAGAGAAAAATAAAAGAAAGAAAAAAAAAAGTTGAAATTCTGAACTATATAGTTACAAATAAAGCTAGTACTTTTTATTTTTATTTTTTAATTATGTGATTCTTTTTCTTGGCAACCAAACAAAGCAAATTAAAAAAATCTGTACAAAATACATATATTACTTGTCAAAGCTATTCTCCTAATTGTTTTATGTTGAACATGCACACTCCAATTCTTTATTCAACGCTACCCATCCTTAATTTTACCTATGAAGCATAGATTATCGTCATATGGAAATCTGAAATATACTAACAGGAATCTGAAATAAACTATTTTTCCCTAAGATAACATGGAAAATGTAATAAGTAAAGATCTCCTATGCTTTCACGATTCCCACAAACCTCAGCCCTCAAGCAAGCAGAATATCAAGTGATTGCATAGAAAACTCATTTCCAGTAAAAGTAATATGTGTACCCTCTGCACTATCCTAAATCAACTAAATTTCAATATTAAAGAGTTACAATATATAGAGATATTGGAAATGTGGATGTTCTGATTGCATAGTATAACCGTAGAAGTATAGATTATCTTAGTGCAAACTTAAGTTTGTCAATGCATGCATCAATTTATGAATGTCCATTGTTATTGCATAGTATACGTATTGTTCTGCATGCATTTAAGGCCACGCATGAAATTGGCAGTAAATGAACAATTCTGATAAAGAAGCTGCAGCCCTTCTTGTCTATTAGCACCCAAAACCAATTAATATAATAGGACAATGAACCAAAACTAAATAAATTAAAAAAAATAAAAAATTACCTCTAAAAGACATGAAAGACAGTCTTTCTCTGTGACACTTGATTTATCAAATTCTTGCTTCACTAAATTTTCTTCTGAAGCATCTCCAAGGAAGTTGGGCTTTGGGGCTCCAGAAGAAAATTCTTCCTGCAATACAAACAAATAAAAGTAGATTGTAAATATACATACCCAATTGTATAAAGTTACATATATATTTGTGCGCGCGCGTGTATCAAGTCAATACTAAGCAACACACACTCAAGCAATGTTTGGTAGCATGGATTTGTTGCTCTTGGAATTGGAATTGGATGAAAAATAGTTCCAAACTTTAAACCAATTTTTCTCCAAATTCAATTCAAAGGAATTGATTCCACGCTTCCAAAAGCCACTTTTAGCTAAACGTTGTTTGGTTGGAGGGATGGAAAAATGGATGGAAGAGAGCAGAAAGGATGGATGGGGTGATACTTTTTTTTTTTGTTTGATTGGAAGGAAAGGAAAGAAAGTTTTATATATTTTTTACCAATATACCCTCACTGTATAAAATAATAAAAGGTAAGATATCCATTTGAATTTTTTTGAAAAGGTTAAAATTGGGAATTGTATATGTTTAGGTAGTTATTCATTTTCTCTCTCCTCCCTTCCTCCCAAAATTGGGCGGATAGAAAAACAAGGAGAAAGGAGGGTTGCTTCCTCCCTCTCTTCCCTACCCTCCAACCAAACACGAAAAACTTCATCCATCTCTCCTCTCATCCATCCCTCCTCAATCCTACCCTCCAACCAAACATAGCATTAAGTGCGGAAAACACTCTTAAAGTATACTACACATACCACTTTCACCCCATATTTTAAAAAGCTTGCTATTATCTCCCTTAATCTTTCAAAAATGGGCAGAAACACCTGTCACGCCCCGAATCCCAAAGACCCGGTTCATGAAGAAAAGGCAACAAGAAAAAGGAAAGAAATGAAATGAAGCCCGGTCTTGAGACTGAAGAATCAAAGCAGAAGCAAAAACCCACATTAACCCCTATGGTTAACGAGGCCACAAATGCCACGTCAAGTCACTCATCCACCGACCTCACTTTAAAATCATAGCATTGGAACATAAAGAGTAATGAAAATATAGCTTCTAGTCTTACTCGAACTCACTAAGCAAATAAAAGTGGGGAGAAGTGATTTAGAACTAAGAAGCACGGAAACGGATACGTGATACGAATATGACACGACACGGAAATTCCTAAAAAATTAGGACACGGACACGGTGGGGACACGGCAAATAAGAAATATATTTCTATATAATTGATGTTGTACTTTAAGAATTTAGAGTAATATTATTTTTTACAATTTCATAGTGAAAAAAAAATGCATTTTGCTGGAAAAAAGAAAGAATTATAGAAAGAGGGTTAAGAAAAAAAAACAAAGAGACAAAGAGGATTAGGGTTTTGTTAGAAAAAGAATTAGGTCTTAGTTAAAAATAAAGGTAATCCATAGAAGAGAAAAAAGTTTGTGGGGAATAGAGGGAAAAGGAAAAAGAGACAAAAAGAAATTTATTGTGAAAAAAAATAAAGGTAATCCACAGCATCCCCATATGGATTTTATATGACCCGTGAGCACTCCTGAGCACTAGGCTTGGTCCGGGCCCACATGCCCGCTATCCCAGGCCAACTTGCCTAACTAAAGGAAACAACTCATCTAAGTGAAATCAAGGGTTTAGAAACCCTCGGAAAGGCTAAAATCATTCCCGAAATCCCAAAACAAATGCCCACATAGCATTTAAATCACATAGATGCATATAGTGAATGAAAAAGAAAAGCGAAAAAAGAAAACTAGTCTTTACAACACCCCTCAAATTAATTTTTGCAGGTCTCTCACATAAAATAATGTTTCAATGCCCGTTTTGCACTTTTAGCCTTCTGAAAATGCCCAAGAGGATGTGTATTATATGAATTCTCATAGTAGAAAGGTGTTATGTGCATGACAACTATATTTAACCCATTTTTGAGATCTCTCTCTCTCTCTCTCTCTATATATATATATATATATATATTTCCTCTACAGCTTTAATGTTTTTTCTCTATATATATTGTCACGACAAACGCAGCGAACCCAAGTAACAATCACAAAACACAACATAAAAGTAAACACACCACACAAAGATTTATACGTGGTTCGGCAAAGCCTACGTCCACTGTGGAGATCCGGTGAAAGTCTTCACTATGTGTAAAATTAGATATTACAAGTTTCAGGTCTTCATTCTCTTTTCCGTACGATTTTCAGTGTCTCTCAATAATCCACTCCAAACCCTAAGCGCCCTTATATATCGGTCTCTTGTACTAATTAGGGTCTACGGCCCACAAGCAAAATGGGTCCAAAATGTTGTCGAGTCGTAAACGGGTTGCAGAGCGACCCAACACCAAATTCGGGCCACAACATCACACACACACACACATATATATATATATATATATATATATTTCTTCTAAATAATATAATAAAAGAAAGAAAAAAATTAGGTAAAATAAAATTTAGGGTTAATTTCAGTGGCACCCACTAAGGTTTGGACAACTATCACATTGATACAACTTTCGAAAATTACTATCACTTAGGTCCAATTTTACTTTTCCATCACTAACACCATTAAAAATGTGCGAAAAGACAATTTTATCCCTATTTTTTTAATACCTTTTATTTCAAGATAGTATCAATTAACTAAAATGACTCTTTTACCCTCATTTATTACTCCCACCTACCACACTCCCACCAAATAAACTCTCTTTCTCGCTCCTCTTTCTCTCTCTTCACAATTCTGCTAAAGGGACACCACGCCCCTCTCTCTCTAGAAACCAAACACATTTTTTTTCTTCTAAATTTGATTATATTACATTGTGAAGTAATCCTTGTGTAAGGCAGCTCAAATTAGGTTGATTTACGGGGATAAAGCATCATAAGATGGCCTTGGTGTTCAATTGTGGTGCTTCAATGGCACTTCAACTAATTCAGTCAAACAACAATCAAACAATGGTGCTTCAATGGCACTTCAACTAATTCAGTCAAACAACAATCAAACAATGGTGCTTCAATGGCAGTCAGCCACTTTCCTTAACAATCAAACAACAATGGTGCCTTCGTCGGAGTTAGGTCTCATCAGTCAGTAGCGATGGGTCTTCCCTGTCAGACAACTCCAGTGTATTCAACCATTTCTCTCTTTTCTTGCTTCAATCTAAGTTTGTTATTTTGCTCAAGTATATGACAACTGGTTAAAGTAATTTTCCACTGCAAATGGGTTATGTAATTTTATGGGTTTTCTTAATTTAGTTTTTTATTTTTTTGTCTTTTACTGTCAGAGTTATATTTGGGATTGATGATATATATCTAGATATATGTATGGATTATGGAATTTCAACTGCAAATGGGTTATAAAATTTTATTGGTTTTCTTAATTTATTTTTTTATTAAAAAAAATATTATTTTATTACATGGGTGTTGAATGATTTATTCATCTTGGATGTTGGTCAGAGTTAATGGTGGGATTGATAATAGATATGTGTTGGTAATGATTTGCAGGGGATTGAGGTTCATGGGCATTACCAGTACTAATATTGATCAATGGCAGTCAAAGATCTTTGCATGGGTATTTTTGTCGCTTAACATGGGTCATATGGGGTAGTTAATTCATTTTATACATGAAATAATCTTTTTATAAGTCAACACAAAGTCAAGGGGGTAACAATGCCTTTTTACATGCAAAAAGTGGTTAGATTTTACAAGTTTTACTAATGTTTTCTTCTAATCTGAAGTCTATGTCGATCAATAATCTCTCTGTTCACAATCACATCTATAAACTCATATTCTCCTGTAAATTTATACATGTATAAATCAAGCAAGAATCAAACAAAATATAGGCAAATTACATATCATCGTGTGCATATACAAAGTTACATATCATCTTGTGCATCGAACAAAATATACACAAAATCGCCTTTTTAAAAAGAATATGCAAAATGTCTCAGGAAGGGTAATTTGGATATATCATGTCGCATGGGACTTATTTGCACCAAAACGGTATACCTCACTCTATAAGGTGGCGTTTTGAAGGAACCTATTTTCCTGGCTTCAACGAGATTCTAGCATGTGGGGTGTTGTGTGCAAGTGAGGGGTGTGAGTAGATGTTTTTCGCATTCAACCCTTTTGGCCTTTTTCGTCATTTTACAAAAATAATCATTTTTAATATAATACTCCGTATGTAAAATGTCTCAGGAACTGAAATTTGGGCATATCATATCATGTCAGCTAGGACTTAATTACACCAAATCAATACTAGGGGGTGTTTTATTCATGTAAGGGTGTGATATGCTAAACATGCTAGAGGGAGTGTTTTTCACACTTAACCCTTAAATCTAATCAACTACTTTATTCACTTTCAAACTACGAGTAATAAGATACAGCAATTTTAATTCGGAACAACAACGCTAAACCAACATAAACGGATAGCTAATAGTTAAAACACAGAGATTTTAGTTTTAAATTTGCTTACATTCTTCGAAGACCGTGAAGGAGATTGAGAGACCCGAAAACTGCGTTTGAGTGACAGAGAAGTACTACGAGGGTTTGAAACCCTAATTCGAGAGGAGGAGGGTAGAAAGATGGGACGTTGAACAAGACAGCGCGAGCAAGAGCTCAACATGAGGCCCAATATGGATTGATCCGAGCCTGTTGATGAAGAAAAGCACTGAGTTTATGCATCAGAGAATACAAGAGAGGTGACCATTTCACTTTGCTTTGTATCAACGAATTTTAAAGCTAGCAAAACCCTAACAACCAAACAGACTGTCTCTCATCTGCACCAAGTTGGATTCTGCCATTCTGGCCGACGAGTGAGAGAGACGGTGTGAATTCGTTTTCAAGGGTATTATACCCTAAACAAATGTTAGTTTTAGGGCAAATTACCTATGGAAGACCAACACCATTCTCACCATGATACAATCGCGTACCAATTTTGATTGTCAAATTTCAATGAAAAAAATAATAATAATGAAAATTTGGTGGGCTCATTTTATTTTTGGATGGAATTATTTTTTTTTTTTACTGCTCATTACTCATTAGTCATTACTGTTCATAATAAGATTTTTTAATTCCTTTTTTGGTTGACAATAAATATATTACACACCCAGGGGGCGACGAGATCCTTGATTTGAACATTTCCAATGACTGAAAATTTCGGAAGTATGGTATTATGAGATATTATAGACTTCCACCTTCATCCGCTCATAATAAGAATATGATGAGTATATAAAGAGAATGATATGATAAGTTCTTTAGAAATTACTAAGAATAAATATTGTATTTATTTTTATCGGAAATTGATTACGTCTCACAAAAATTTTAAAGCCACTTTTTTAGCATGCATTGTGTATACTCAATCCCTTGTCCCACACTTTTGAGTATTGAGACATTTTAAAAAGATTTGCAATTAAGAATTTAAATTTGCATTGAACAAATATTTTTGAATAACTCAAAAAATATGTGAAAAGAGAAAGTAGAACACTTAATTTCAATAACAGGTAAAATTGAAACTCTTGTACAAGAAAAAAAAATTTTGGGAGGAGTTTAAGAAATGGATTATTCTTTAAAAAATCCAAAATTTATGCGATGTGAATTGATAAGGTGAGATGAATTTATGACTACTTTTAAGACAAACTTGGCAAAAATAATCTATCTATAAATAAATTAATAAAATAAATTTTAAAATAAAAATATATATATATATTGATGTGGAATATTCGACTAGATAAAGAATTTCAAATGACATGGAGACTCAAAAGGTATGGATAATTTTAAAGATAACAACTACTATCTTCTCCAGTGACTTTTACAATTCGTAATGGATAAGGAAAATAAATTTGTTTCATAACAGAAGACTACTATCATTAATGCTTCTATAAAAGAAGTCATCGGTTAACCTAAAAAGGTATCATAAATCCCATATTCAATCATTTCTAGGATATTCAATCGTCAAGTACTAACTTGACCGTCAAAGTGCACACGGCCGACACCACAAAAAAATCCTATTTCATTAATTACTCCAAAAACTTAATGAAAAAAATCCTATTTGCAATAGCACCCAAGGGTTATATATATATATATATAAATCTTTACCTGCATGATCTGAATTACTACAAAAACTTGGAAATTTCCCGTACGCACCGGAAATAAAAAAGAAATGACTCTTCCAGCCGTTATTGTTTTCAAGAGTTGTAACAATGAGGAATATCTTCTTTGATCTACACTGGAAGTACCAAAAGTCATCCTTTTTTTGGGATAATAAAAATGCAAGAATTGATTTACTATTAGGCAACCATTGCTACACTTTCCCCAAATAATCAAGCAGCCTATAATAATTCTCCATGAATTAGGGACCATTTGAGAAGGAGTTATCTTTAAATGAGAGAGTAAATTTTCGACAAATGGATGAATCGGAAAACGCAAACTAGCATTAAAGGTCGACTCGAAAAAGCATACATCACCCAAACAAACAAAAGAACATATATCCTCTGGTTTGGGTTTATGAAGGTGAATAGATGAAGGAATGGAATATTTAAATCTAAAAGTATGTAAATTCTCATCCTTAACTGAGGATTCTCCTTCAAGTGGGGGTTGCTTGGAAAAAACAGTCATTGGTCTTGAGGGGTAATCAATACCAAATTCGCCAACATAATCAGGATCAAGTTCTTCAACACTTTCAGAATTTAAGTCTTGAGATTGGGATTCAACATTCAAATTATCTTCATGCACAGACATGATGACATTGTGGATATCGTGGAAACAATGAAACCATTCTGGAATTACACTAACGATTCGACAGAGATGACTGGACTCAACTACGTACCTCGCAAATTAAGGTTTGGAATAATCAGAGTAAAAACGATAATAACTACAACGATCCACAAGAAACTCAAAGTCAAGATCCAGTTTAAAGGATTTTAGACAACAAGAAAAGAAAAAAAGAAAAAATAGGGGAGGTAAATAAATATATATATATATATATATATATATATATATATATATATATATATATAGTATAAAGAAATCCTTTTTGAGTGAGAATGAAATTCTCCTAAAAGAGTCTTATTAAAACTTGGAAGGAGATTTGTAGTAAAAATGAAATAAATAAAATATAAGAAAGTATATATATATATATATATATATATATATATATATATATATATATTAATCAGCATTTCCTTGGTCCGAAATGTGCCCAGAAATAGGGGGCAACTGATAGGGTGAAATAAACCTACTTTAACCTAATGATGGAAGTAACAAGTGTTGACCAGCTGCCAGTCAACTTCCATATGATGACGGGTCTACAATAAGAATGACGGCATTCAGTTAACGACGATATTGAAAGTGGTTATTAATGATAAACAGAATCTCTCTACAAGCGGAATTTTATCCAACACTTACGTCGACAAAACACCATAAAATACAAGGGAGGATAGAATGAGGTAGAGATACAAAAAAATCCAATTTCACTTATTACGATTTAATTCTCTCTCTCTAAACCCCCACAAACTTGATCGTTGGAAGGTTTACGGCCAGCACCACACCGATGTTTGACTCAGCCGTCTTTATTTTACAGGAAATGGTGTCGTACCAGGCCACGGTGAATTTCAACCCCAACAACTGGCGCTGTCTGTGGGAACGACGATTCCCTTAAATCCATAAATTGTTCAATTAGGTATATGTATTTGCGGTCCGGTATAGTTACCGAAGGAATATCGTTGCAGGGATCTGGTTAAGGGGAAGGGTCGGGTGAACACCCAGACTTCCCAAATGACCAAGAACGGCTTGCAGCGTTTGAACTACAGGTCCAAACTCTGAATCAGGATATGGACCAGTTGATCCAACAAAATGCAACACTCCTGCAACATCTTGTTCCATTGGTTCAACTGAACTTCTCACAGACGGTGCCAGCTGTTGGGGTTGAAATTCGCCACGGCCTGGTACGACACCGTTTCCTGTAAAATAAAGACGGCCGAGTCAAACACCGGGGTGGTACCGGCCGTAGACCCTCCTACGATCAAGTTAGTGGGGTCGTAGGAGGGTCTACGGCCGGTACCACCCCGGTGTTTGACTCGGCCGTCTTTATTTTACAGGAAACGGTGTCGTACCAGGCCGTGGCGAATTTCAACCCCAACAGCTGGCACCGTCTGTGAGATGTTTATATATATATATGTCTCTTTGTGTGATGTTTTAATATGAAAAAAAGAAAAATTATCAATTATTGTGATGAAATTTCTTAAAGAAAAATGTATAATAAGACACTCTCATCATAATAAGCTTGTGACATTAGCTGTATGATTGAAACTGGAGATGGCAAATTACGACACGACCCACCAATACGATTCAAACACGATACAAGATAAATGGGTTTAGGTCGACCTTAAACGATTTCAGGTCATAAACAGGTTGACATGGTTAACCCGTTTACTTAACTGTATCGGGTTAGGGTTGAGGGGTTCAATCCGTGTAACTCTTTTATGACCCATTTAACTCAACATATTATAATCGTGAATATAACCTATGTAACCTGTTTAAACCCAATTATTATGGATAGTTAAGTCATTTCAATATAAATCTTGTCTATGCCTTATGATTTTTCTTTCTTATTTTTAATATTTGGGTTAATCATGACAATTTATTTCTATTATTTATTATTTAATTAAATATTAAATGCCTTGTTTTGATAAACAGGTCATAAACGAGTTAACACGTTTACCCGCTTAATAAACAGATTGGGTTAGTATTGAGGGTTCTTGATACCATTATTAAATGGGTTGGGTTTGAGTTTACATATTTAATATAAAACCCTTACATTGACACGACAAGATTACAACTCACGAACACGAATCGTCACTCCTAATTAAATATATATATATATATATATATATATATATATATATATTTTATTGACAAAAATTACAACTCACATGCCCACGTAAGCATACAGTCCTTCCTTTCTCTTTAAGAATTGAAAGGTTATATCATTTATTTTCCTTTGCCGATTGACCTGATTAAAATAAGAAATATTGGATTAAACTCCAATCACTTTTATTATTACAAGAGTCTCAACCAATTTTAATGGATAAATTGAACAGTCATCCACTTTGCGTAATAAAAATTGAGTTTTGTTAAAATTCCAACACAGCCGTTGGGCCTATCTAAAAAGCTGTTCTTTGAAATGTCTACAATAAATTTTCATGATGTTTTGATTATGAAAAAATAAATAAATAAATTCAAATCTATCATTGTTTTTACTTTATTTATTAATTTATTAATGTTTTGGACAAATGAAAAAGTAAAAATGAAAAACAAAATTCTAAGGGCATGTTCACTAACACTTTTACTTCTTTCTTTTTTTACTGTCAATTCTTACAAACTTAAAGTAAAAGCGCAAATCATGATCACTAATATAATTTTACTTTTTAATTTTAAGAAAGTAATTCCTCTTTTAATGAAGAAAAAAGAAAGTGAGGAAGTAATATATGTCACTGTAGTCCTCTTCTTCTGCTCACCCATCATCCTCATATCACCCCCCTAAGAAATCAGAATCATGATTTTACTTTCTTAGAAAGTAAAAGTAGAAATTAATTCCTGACTATCAGTTGTTCCATTCGTTGAGTTAGGAATGTGGTCCAATTGAGGAAGTTGGAATGAAAGGGGTGAACACTATCTTCCCATTTTCTCTACCTGTTAAAATAAAATCATTAATCTCAGCCTGGTATTTGAGAAGCCTCCATTTTGTTTTATTTTTTAAAAGTATTAACCAGAAAAATGGTGGAAAAATGAAAAGAAAATAACAATATTCTATTGCTTGAAAACCAATGACAAAAATACCCGAGTAAATGTAAGGGAAAAGTATCTAGTAGTGTATAGGTGTTAGCCCCTTGACGGTTGTCCAAGGGAAGACATGGGCATTTCAAGGCCATGCCATGTCTTGGGAATACTTTGACTTTGGTTAGACAGCTATGAGGATTGCTCAGGGGGTTGTCAGCGTGCATAAGATGCTCAGCGTGCACACAAGATGCTTAAAAGGATGCTCGGCGTGCACTGGGGGTGCCCAGTGGCACTTTCGTAAATATGGCGAAAAGTAAAACTTGGAGTTTTGACTCAGGATTTTTATGGGAGGTACCTTGAGTCCATAGAAGCTGGTTGGGGCAGACGGCACTCAATTTGGATGTCGGGAAAGGTCTGAAAGGCCATTATGACTCCTCAAGCATGGGTGATGTTTACTCCTGTCAGAGTGCTGGATTTCCTTAAGACTATATTAGGGGGGGTCTGTTGAGCACATCGGTTGGGCTATGGCATGGCTTGCTTAAAGGGCTTAGCTAACGTGCATGGGCACGTGTTGCACCACTCCAAGATGGTTGCACAAGTGGGGAGCATCCAAGATATTGAAGGGCAAACAAGTGGGCACCGACACGCGCGCTGGTGTGCAGCGGCGCGCGTGCGGGCATGCAGGTGGGCGCACGGGCTGGCGTCTAACCTAGTGTGCGCGAGCGTCTAGCTCGGCGTGCGCATGGGCGTCCAGGTGGGTGTAGAGCCACGGGCGCATGAGGGTACAAACATGGCGCGCGAAGAAGGGCACTAGTGTGTGCGCCGGCGTGCACTTTGGTGTGCACCCGAGCGTGCGCACGGGCGTGCATGGCTTGGCACGCCGTGCACTCAGAGACATATGTATGTGGGTGCACAGATTGGTGGACTTGGGCTAGGTTCACAAGGTTGACTCAGATGTGGCTAGAGCATGGACAACACAAAGTCATGGCTTGCGGTTACAAGAGGTGGTGGCTTAGTGGGCTCGGTTGGTTGGGGGAAGTTACTAGCACTTCCTACTCATCATGGGAAGTGGGGGAGTGCTGAGTAACCTCCCAAACATGTGGCACAATTCTGAGAGGACCAACACACAGGCGGTTATGGGTGGTTTCCTCCACTATGCAGAATCTAACTTCTTGTGGTTATGTGGCATGAGCAGAACATGCCAACAAGTCTAGCAGTTGGGTTTGTCAACTGCATTATAGTGCTGGCTCATTTAGAGGGTGCCAGCACGACCCTAGGTGGATGGGGGTGTCATCCATCATCTTAGTGGGCAGTTATGGGCGGTTTTGAGAGTGGCCTATATAATGCTAAGGTGGGCTTTGTAGAGGGGACAAAGAAGAGGGTGTGAGCCTTGGTTGTTCCTTGTACGAACTCATGTTCCTTTGTAATATGTTTAATATGAGCAAAGGTTGGGGCTTGTCCCTGTAACTGTGTGTGCCTTTTTTATATTTCTATACTGTGTGTATTGTGTTGTTGTGTTGGCTGAGACTTGGTGGCCCCAAGTGCCATTGCAGAGGCAAAAATTCGTGGTGTAATTTAACCCTGTGACAATAGGTACCACGGTATTCCGAAAATATATCAGCCCAGCATTTTACACAGAAGGTAAACTATTTAACAGTTTTAAAAATGAGGAGGATGGTGTGTGCGTGTGTGTGTAGAATACCTTACATGTCCAACAAACAAACTACAGAAGACAGTATTCACAATTTTGACATGCAAGATCGATACCTCCCTTGTGCCACCATGTCAATGTTCTCTCTTTTCCGCTCCTCCACTAAAATCGAAAGGAAAATTGAGAAATACTAGATCGAATTTAATGGAACTACTCAAGGCTGAGAAAATCAACCTGATTCAGTGCTTCATTGATGGAGGTGTTGGGATTTATATGCTCTGGCATAACAAATTTCTATTTGGATTAAAGTGACATAAGTTCCTGATGTTTCTGAAATATTTATGTTTTATACAATTGGTGAGTTCAATGTATTATGTTTCGATTCATTATAGAATTGATAGTGTCCACTTGATTATAAGAAATATTTATATATGTATGTGATGGCGATCAATACATGAATATAAATAGTAATCATAAATGGTTCATAGTCGGTAATTATGGATGAACTCATAATTAATTAAGACTTGAACTGGATCCGCGTTAGGTTGAGATATATTGCGAGAGCCGTCGTATGCAATTGCTCCCTATCACCGTCATGGCATTTGACTCTTAAGTATGAGAAAAGTATAAACTCTTTTATTAATTAATAATTACTTTGATTTGTTCGGCGAATTTTTCGGGATCCATAGACCGACACTTTGTGTAGTTATGTAATTAATAGTTAGAGGGTTATATTTTCAATATTTGCATCACTGCTACTTGTATTTATTTTGTATTGATTATGGTTAATCACAAAGTAAATTCGAAGGCTTTCGTGTATTTTTAGACAAAATGATTTATTATATATTTATTTATTTATAATATTATTTTTATCAAACAAATGTTTTATTGTGATCGAGTCAGAAATAATCAAAGGTACCAAAATAAATATATTAATTAAGTAATCGGATTGATGGCTTTATTTATCCGATAACTAATTATACATAGAGGGGTCAAAATGTAATATTGACTTAGAGGTTATTTATTATTTAATTGGAGTTCAATTAATTTCTTTTAATAGAGTATAAATTAATTTATGAATTAACTGAATTGGGTCCATGGGCCGGGCCAATTATTAATTCATTGTAGTTAATAAAATAATAGGCCCAATGGATTCTCACTCATAACCCAACTTGATATTGGAATCATATTAGATTTGAGACATGTGAATTAGAGATTGAGAAGGATTTGTTATTTCCTTTTCTTTATCTTTATGTTGCCTATAAATATACATGGCCTATGTATATTTGGATGATGATTTTTAGAAGAAAGAAAAATGAATTTATTTTCTCTCTCTAGAAAATTAGGGTTTATGTTCTCATTTAATGGAGGCTCCCACAACTCTAGTTTTCCAAGGTCATTCATGGAAGCTTATGAGTGATTCATAAAGGCAGAACAATTACCAAGAAGATGAAGATCCAATGAGAAGGCATCTTGTTAAGGGATCTATAATAAGTAAGAACATTCACTTTAGAGGAGAAATCTAAGGTCTACTCAAACCTTGATGTAAGTATTTAATCTTTTAATTGAATGATACATCATGTTTTTATTTTTGCATAAAACTTGTCTCTATGTGATGAATCAAAATCTATGAATTAAAATCCCTCAATAAGTTTTTAAAACTAGCATGTTTCCCAACAGGAAGATCAACACAAGTCATTGTATGTGAAGTACAAAGCAATAATTCTATTTCATCAAATCCAGAAAAACGAAGCCATTCCAGAGACTGTGCAAGAGTATCGAGGGCAATAGGTTCCTCGATCGTGCAAAAATTACACCCATCACTATCCCTAGAAAAATTAACGGTAGCATCCTCTGTATATTGAAATGTGCTAGAGCAAAGGCAACTGAACTAACAAGGATTGAGCACCATACAGGCATGTACTTGGTTAAGGAGGGAAGAAGGAAACCTCGAAAGACAATCTCCTCCCACACGGGAGCGCACGCTGAAACTACCAGTGCATACAATGCCATTGCCACCGGATCCCGCACCGCAATTGATTGCTCGACACTTGATTGAGTGATGGGGGTAGAAGGCAAAAGAGGCAATAGGTCAAGGTTGAACTGTGACAGCCGGTTGACCAATGGAAACATAAGGCATCCGAGAGCAACATCAAACAGCCAGTTCCCTCTCATTCTAAATCTAAACCAACCAGACGGAAGGGGATGAAACCGAGAAAGGCAACGATGAAGAATTGCAATACCAGCAACACCTTCAATTACATCAGTCAGAAGGCTGTATAAGGCCTGCCCTCTATATGTTAGAGATTCCTTGCTGAAACCCACAACATGGGCTCCAAATGGAATCACCCAAGATCCCAGAAACCAGAATGAGGCAATCCAAAGGAACATAACCTGCACCAACAAAATTATTTTTCCTTATTCTGTCTTTTATAGTTGATCTAAATCTAAAGTAATTAAGCAGTCATAATAGCTCAAAGTTCAGTTTGACAATTACGTAGTAAAATTTAGAGCATGGCATGGAGTTTTTACTCCAGTATACAAAATCCATACGAGGATATCAAGGAGAGAACAAAAAATTCTGAAATTTAGGTGAATTTTTTTATTTTTATATTTATTTTTTTCAAAACTGATTCTGGTTGTATCTTTGAATTCATTAGTTTTTAAATTTCAAAATTTTGAATCAATAACTGATACAAGAACTTAATATTGGAATATTCCATAAAAGAAGCCGGAGTCTACTTTTTAATTTTATTTATTTAGTTTCAAAAATTCGTCTGGTTATTTAAGGTTAGAATTTACCTCGGATCCATGGACTCTGAAGATAAAGTATTTGATGATCAAAAGAGAAAAAAGAAAATTCACCTCTTGAACACTCACACAAATTAAGGTTTTTATTTTATGCATTTATATCCTTAATCATATTAGGCTCATTGCATAAATGTTTTGATTCCTTAAAAAGATGTTTTGAATGCATAAAAGTGTGTTTAAATCGAAAAACCTAAGTTTATATGGTGGTTGGGGTTTGATCATTCGTACCTCACTGCACTAGGTTCGATCTATCAACTAGAGTCTCGATTGACCGGGCGATGTGGAATTCGTGTTTCCTTTTCTGGTTAGTACTTTAAAACCTAATTCTTTTGTACTAAAACACTATAGAAACACCCTTAGGTCCTCAAAGTATTCTCACATCTAAAGAGATTAATCGAAAGTATATAGGCATATAAAGTGTGTGTGTGTGTGTGTGTATTTATCATTTTCAGTAGATGGTTATTTAAAATTCAGATTGTCGATCATCAACTTGTGGATCCTCCTCAATCATCTTCAACGCCAAATCACACAAAGAACTTTATATAGGCATATAAAGTGTGTGCGTGTGATTTAGGAAAAAAAAAGTGTGTGTGTATTTATCATTTTCAGTAGATGGTGAGTTATTCAAAATTCAGACTGTTGATCATCAACTTGTGGAGCCTCCTCAATCATCATCAACACCAAATCACACAAAGAACTTGAAGCTTGGAGGCAAAATTAAGAGTTTAATCATGGATAGAAGAGCGGATCTCATGAGCGGATTTGTTTACTAGCAACAGCAGAGTTCGAGGAGAATGTCTTGTGTGAATCTGGGTCAGCAGAGTTCAAGGAGAACATTTGGTGTAAGTCTGGGTTAGAGGCAACTAAGGAAATCTCGCGTTTAGATTGGTAACCTAGGTTGTATTGTCTTTCTTCTAATAGGGGATTTCAATTGCCTGGACCAAGTCCTGTCCTTTTTCCCTGTTGGGATTTCCCATGTAAAAATCGTGTGTTTTTGTGGTTGCTTGGTTATTTATTTTTGCTTTCTATAATTTGAATAGATTAATAATACTGTATTTAAAATATAATTGCTAAAACTTAAAAATTAAACAAGATCTATTCACCCTCTTCTAGATCTATTTTAGAGCACAGAGCACTTTAATGTATCAGAGGGTAACAATCCGATCCATTGAGAACCATTATACTGAGGGGAGTTTAGTGTCATCTCGCATCACAGGTGTACAACTGCTATCACACATAGAGAAACAAGCTAAGAATATAATAAAAAAAGTACCCTTGAGAAAAAATGGAATAGAAAATATATACTTATGAATCTCAAGGTAGCATTGACACAGGACAATGTAAGAGAGAATAATTTAACCAATAAACGCGCCATTAAGGAAGGGCTATTTGATTGAGATAAAGACATTACTAGTACAAGAGGAAAGCAAAAACAATGTGGGTTGAGTTGGCGAGAAAAGAAATGGTGCCTTTGATTTTTAGGGTTTACATGGTCCTTAGTAAAGCTAGAAGGCAAAAAGGTATCTGTGCAGTCTTTCCTCAAGTAATTGGAGTTTAAGGCGTTCTTGGGTTGAATAGAGTGTCCATGATATTTTCAAGAAGTAAAGAAAAATCGTTCATCAACAGCCATGTATGAAAAACTACCTAGTGTTATATCTCCGGATTCTCAGGAAGCTCACTTGCTTCTTTTTTAAATGACACCTTAACCTTGATAGTAACTAATATACTTGCATTCTATCATTTAAAAGGGCTAATGAGGAAAACACTTACCTGCAGTATGGTCTCAGCTGTCCATGGCACAGCCCACGGTTTTCCAATCGCTTTAAACGATGAATCTAAAGCCTGAAACAACACAAAGCCCATTAGTGAACACTTTGAAAAATCCAAAACAGCCCACGTTTTTCCAATCGCTTTAATCAATGCATAAAGCCCATTATTGAACACCTTGAAAAATCCAACTACTTCCATGATATGCTAATAGTTTATTTCACAACAACACCATAAACAGTTGGGTCATAGATATAGTTACAAATTCTTCTTGTCACAAGTGGTATAATTTCCAAATCCAGAAACGAGAAGAAATAGAATACTCCATTTAATATGATGGCAGAGGAAAAAGAAAACAAAGTTGGAATTCTCAAGTATTTAATGACAAATAAAGTTAGAGATTTATTTCTTTTTAATTATGTGCTTCATTTCCTTGGCAACCAAACAAAGAAAATTCAAAAATTCTGTACGAAATATCTATTACTCGTCAAAGCTATTCTCCTAGTTGTTTTATATTGAAAATGCACACTCCCGTTATTTATTCAACGATACCCCTGCTTAATTTTACCTGTGAAGCATAGAGAAGAAATAGAATACACCATTTAATAGGGCAGCAGAGAAAAAGGAAAAAAAATGAAATTCTCTAGTATTTAATGACAAATAATGTTAGAGATTTATTTAATTTTTTATTATGTGCTTCATTTTCTTGGCAACCAAACAAAGCAAATTAAAAAATTCTGTACAAAATATATATTTTACTTGTCAAAGCTATTCTCCTAATTGATTTATGTTGAACATACACGCTCCCATTCTTTATTCAACTCTACCCATGCTTAATTTTACCTATGAAGCATAGATTATCATCATATGGGAATCTGAAATATACAAACAAGAATCCGAAATAAACTATTTTTTCTTAAGATAACATGGAAAATGTATTAAGAAATCTAACTATGACACGAAGTAAGGATGTCCCATGCACCACAATTCCCACTAACCTCAGTCCTCAAGTAAGCAGAGTATCAAGTGATTGCATAGAAAAATCATTTCCAGTACAAGTAATATTTGTAGCCTCTGCGCTATCCTAAATGAGCGAAATTTCAATATTAAAGAGTTATAATGTGTAGAGATATTGGAACTATTGAGACTTGCTAATTGCATGGCATAACCATAGAAGTATAGATTATCTTGATGCAAACTTAAGCTTGTCAATGCATGCATCAACTATATGCATTTCCATTTTGATTGCATTGTAAACGTATTCTTCTGCATGCATTTAAGGCGACACAGGAAATTGGCAGTAAACCAACAATTCTGATAAAGAAGCTGCAACCCCTCTATTAGCACCGAAACCAACTAATAACAGGACCATGAACCAAAACTAAATAAGTTAATATATATATATATACACACCTCTCGAAGACGTGAAAGCCAGTCTCTCTCTGTGTCACTTGGTTTATTAAATTCTTGCTTTGCTAAATTTTCTTCTGAAACATCTCCCAGAAAGTCTGGCTCTGGGGCTCCAGAAGAAAATTCTTCCTCCCTAAAGCAGGATATTTTCCATTTCTGCAATACGAACAAATAAAAGTAGATTTCAATTATACGTATACAATTGTGTACATTTACATATATATAGGTGAGTGTCAGAGCATCAAGTCACTAATAAGCAAAGCAAACTCAAGCTGTGTTTAGTAGAATGAAGTTGGTGCTTTTAGAATTGAAATTGGTTGAAAAGTAATTCAAACTATAAGCCAATTTTTCACCAGATTCAATTAAAAGGCATCGATACCATGCTTCCATACGCCAAGTTAGCTAAATCTAATCAATTACTTTAATCACTTTCAAATTAATAAGAGATAGCAATTTTAATTCCAAACAACAAAGCTAAACCAACATAAACGAATAGCTAATAGTTAAAACATAGAGATTTTAGTTTTAAAATTGCTTACGTTCTTTGAAGACTGGGAAGGAGATTGAGAGACCCGAGAGCTGCGTTTGAGTGACAGTGAGGTACTACGAGGGGTTGAAACCCTAATTCGAGAGGAGAAGGGGAGTAGGATGGGGCGTTGAAGAAGAGAGTGAGAGCAAGAGCTCAACATGAGGCTGAATATGGATTGGTCCGAGCTTGTTTATGAAGGAATTTATGCATTAGAGAATACAAGAGTCGTGAACATCTAATTTCACTTTGCTTTTGTATCAAGAAATTTTAGAGTGAGAAAACCCTAACATCCAAACAAACTCCCCTCTCAACCGTTGAGACACCAACTACTCTTCAAGGATGGAGAGAATTCGTTTGGATTGTGGCCGAGTGAGGGCAGAAATTCGTTTTCAAGGGTATTTATAAATTGTAAACAATGTTGACAAAACTAGATCACATTGCTGGAATAGCTCAGTTGGCTAGAGCGTGTGGCTGTTAACCACAAGGTCGGAGGTTCAAGCCCTCCTTCTAGCGAGTGAATAATTCCTTTTTAAGAAAATAATATATATTTTTATTATTCTATTAATAATGAATGAATTATCAAATTTATTTTTAGTGGGTGGGTTCACAACTTCACGTGGTGATTTACTTCAAAATGTTAAATTCGTAGTATTACAAAAAATAGTATATTAATTTTTCAAATAAGACATTTATTTTGGGACGATTAAAAATAGAAATGTGACAAATATATAGTTAGTAATAAGATTGAGTGGATAAAATTGAAACTTATGAGTATAATTGAATCTTGTGAGTATTCAATTAAAAAATTATAAAATTTGGGACGACCGTAATTGATGGAATATTTTTTAGATCTACAAAATTTATACCATGTGATAAGGTAGAATGAACTTATAATTTTTTTTTTTTTAATTTCAAAATTTTTTTTTGGACAAATATGGCAAAAAAAAAAAATTATTGTGTTTAACATTACACTTTGAAAAAAAAAATACCAATCGCTGTGAGGAACATTTTTAAGTAAAAAATGTGTAATAAGACACTCTTATCATTAGCTTGTGACCTTAGTTGTTGAGTTGAAAGATTCTCCCAATCACATGATATTATTTTATGGATTGAGCTAAAAATAAGAAATATTGGTCTTTGATACGTTAAAAATAATAAATAAATAATAAATAAATAAATAAAACTATTGGACTAAACCTCCAATGAAAATCAAGTGTACTCGATGTACACTTGAATTTTAATGTATAAACTGACAGTCGTCCACTATGTGTAATAAAAAATGAGTTTTGTTAAAATTCAAAACACAAACTATCTCTTTCAATCAACTGTACCTATGTAAAAAAGATGCTCTTAAAAAAAATATCTAAACAATGAAGCATTTGGCCACTCGTTCCATTCGTTCAGTTATGAATTTAGTCCAATTGAGGAAGGGTGTGAACACTAGCTTCCCAATCTCTCTACATGTTAAAACCCATTATAATATAGATAAATTGCGGTTCTTGTGGGTCTGGAATAGCCAGTGATGTTTTCATCGCTAGTTGAGGTGGTGGCGGAGGTTGAGTTACTAGTGGTGGCTGTGGTTGCTGATCAGGTGGAGACACTGAAAACACCAATACAAAGCCACTGTTAACTTCTCCAAAATTTCTTCAAAACAAAGGCTCGATCACCTGTTCCAAACAAGTTCTTATGTTCTTTAGCAGACATCTCTTATTCTAAGGCTCCATTCATGGAGTGATCTAACTCTTTACTGTCTGAATGGGGAGCATAGTCATCCCTATGCAAAATTTAGTATACATCATAAATAAAAGACAAAACCCCACAAACCATTGCCAGTCAAAATGTGATCACACAGATTTGGTTAAAGAAAAAGGAGCTTCCATTCAACAGTGACACAATACCAAAATGTAAGCATGTTGATTTTCTATTGATTACTACTTACTGAAGGACAATTTGGTAAAATGGCATTTTCAGTCTCACAACCTTTAATGTAGCCTAATTTATATATGGTTATTGGTTATATAGCCACTCAAACATCTCAGGTTCTGACCAGTAGAAGAGGAGGAGGGGGAGTGGAAAAAAGTACCAACCTAAAAATCCACCTAACCTTGGGCATTCTAGCCATTTTTGTGCATAACGTAAATTTAAATTTACGCAAAAACACAATCCATTCCAGAAAGCTGAACTATTCGGCGATTCAAGGTGGGTGAACTGGTTGTGAACTCAATCACCACTTGATCCTGAGTTGAAACAAATCACGAGCCTGACTCAGCAAAATGTGGGAATCATGTTGGATACTATTTGCGACGTCTATTTGTGACCAACTCCGGGTTGCCTTTCCTCATCATGGCTACAAACTCATCGTAGTTGATTCTACCATCCTGCAAAAGAATTGCCGAATACCTTATTTATGAAGAATCAATATATCAAGAAATATAGGCACGTAGGTTCCATATGTCAGAACGGGTACAAAAATCAGGATACAGAGTGTATCAGAGTTAGGTTACAAGATGTCAACTATGGAAATAAATGTTACTATTATTGCTACTGTCGCAAACAAGCCGAGCTGAGATTGGACCTGTTCAAGCTCCCACTTGACAATCAAACACGAGCTCTAGTCAATTTCATAAACTAGTGTTCAAGCTCAGCTCAAACATTACACGTTGACGTCATGCTCATGTTCAGTCAGCTTATTTAACAAATTTCAAGCTCGAACTTGAGCTTGAGACTAAGTTTGATATGCACAAAAATTAATCACCAATCCGAACTATCCCTAATGAAATAGTTATATTCTAAGCTTTAACAAGCATGTTCAAGAACATTTGTTCATAAATATGTTTGTGAGTCTAAAGAGTCGAGCCGTAAGTTGTTTGGACTCGGCCCATTTATTCAACAATCTCAAAAAACAAACTCACACTCAAATCATTAGCAAAGTAAACAACTTTCACCTAGCTTTGATCAAGTCAAACCCGAGTTGTTCATGAACAGCTCCGTTCCTTTGCAACCCTAGTTGTTACACTAAAGCAGAACATGCTTAAATTGGCACCAACAGTGAATTATTTTAGGAGGAAAAAACTGTGAGGGAGAGCTCTCACACGAGTTCACGTTCGCAATCATTGGATTGAGAACGTGAACTCGTCTCATGATATACTTACTCTTTCAGGAAAGCAGTGATTTCTACAAGGGTATATTTCACGTATATTGTTAACTTCGTAAAATGCACTGTGCTCTAACAGAGACAGCTTGCTTGGTTCACCTTTTCTAATAATTGTTTGTGTTTTCAGAGAGTTGAAAAGGGAAAAAATATGAAAATTTGATTGGTATCATTTTCTGACTCTAAAAACTGTTTTACATTTTCAGTTTTTGAAAACTGGCTCAAGATAACTGAACCAAACAGGCCCTTCATCCTTGGTAACACACAATCATTGACGGCCTTATATTAGTTAATTTCAACTTTATGTTGAGTCAATGTGCTTATCTTTGAAGAATCACATGGACCATATGGTCCACAAGGTCAGTAAGAGCATCATCAAAATTCAAACATGGGCCACAACCTGGACCCTCCAACAGCAATATTTCCTATCATTAGGATGTAGTATTTCCAAAGGGGTGCAACACGAGGGCTTTCCAAAGTACTCAATATTTTCCGATTTATAATCATGTTTAAAGAGAATAAGAAATGGTAGATAAGCATATTTATACTAGTTTTATAAAATAGAAAGAAAACATACATTGTCTGTGTCAACTTCTGCAATGATCTCTTTTATGGTTTTCTCATCACCCATATTATACTTCTTAAGGGCATGCTCCAATTCTTCCATTGTGATGTACCTGAAGAGCCAAGAAAGGCAAAGCAAAAAAATAGTTAACAATCAGTGCCATAGTATTAAACTAGGAAATAGAAACTGTTGTAATTATGCAACACAATATGAAAATAACACGTTCAAGAAGAAGCTGACCCGCTCTTGTCCTTGTCAAAATATTCAAAGGCGGTGTATAAGTGGTCCTCTCTTTCCATTCGATTCATGTGCATAGTCGCAGTTATAAACTCAATGTAATCAATTGTTCCATCTCCATCCACATCAGCCTGAAAAGCAACTCATTTAGATAATTTAGTTGAACTTCAGAATAGATATGAAAATGCTTAGGTGTACACCCAATATAGCTTATCCACAGGCAGCTCCAGAGGAGAATTGCAGCTACATACATACAAACATATATATGTATATATATATATCCATATATATATATCCAGAGCTGTCAGCTCTTGTTACCATGCCATACTACCATCACATTCTACAATTAAGAGATGAAGTGGAGAAGTATTTTAGGAGAATTATGCACCCTATATATACCCTTTGGGCTAAAGGGAAGTATATGAACAGCCCAATTATATAATATTAAATGCAAGTAATCAAGCAATGTCCCGTGAATCAGTAAGAAACTAGAGTTAGCACCAATTATTAATAACAAGATGACAAAATAATTGTTAGGAGTGTCCGATCATGTGACAGTACCAGAAGGGAGAAATTTGGTTCAAATTGAAGCTGCTACATGGAGAAGGAAAATAAGGCAAAAAGAACATGAACCAAGACTATACTTGATGGCTTGGGCTCCTTGGATTTCTGGCAAAAACTATGGTCCAAGATAAAATTAAATATCTTTATCCAGTGTGGTCCAAGATAAAATTAGATTGCAAAATAGAATCCATCCAGCGCATCCCAAGTAATTGGGATGACTACTTGAGCTTACTCCATATTCAGATCAACTGTTAAAACTTGTGAACTGATTCAATTTGCATGTTATATAAATAGCTATCATAAATTTAATCGTTAGCCCATAACTTCCAATATATATCCAGATTAGATGGTTTGTTTGAGCTTGATATACAATGTTGGACCCATTCTTTAACATGTTAAGCTTTCAGCATAATTCTCTAACATGATATCATAACCTTTTGGGTTTCAATTTTATACTTCTGCATTTTCTCCCCCAATTATGTTTCTTTGTTCGGTGTGCAAGTATGTACTTTGACCAACGGACCAGTGGGCTAGCGGTATCAGCCTCTTGCTTCCCAAAGGGAGGTCAGGGGTTCAAGTCTCAGAAAAGACAAGTGTGTGTGAGTACCAACTAGGAAAAAAAAAAAAAAAAAAGTACGTACTTTGCTTGCCAATGCACATGCGAGATAGGGCCACGTGTGAGGAATTGTGTTAGAGTGGATATACACTGCTAAGCCTTTCCTTAAGGTCTTAAATATTTTGTGCAATTAGTAGTTTGTCAGTTTTAGACACATGAGTTACTTAAGCTATATGTCATCCACTTGGGTAATCTACATGTATGTTCAATAGTTATAGACTTAAGGCTATCTGATCATGACTTTGGCTCCAAGAGGATGATGAGCCTCTTGTAGCATTCTGCACGTATAAGCAGGGCAAAAAGAGATAATAAACCGAAAACACCCAGAAGCCTTGGAGATAAAATAAGAAGCAAGGAAAGCTGGAGATAATACCGCTTCCATCAACTGCCTCACTTCTGACTCAGAGAGCTTGGTACCCAGTTTTGGAAGACCAGCTTTCAACTCTTCATAAGTAATTGTTCCACTGTTATCCGTGTCCATGGATTTGAACATCTCCTTCAAGCCAATGATTTCTTCTTCAGAGAGATTTTCTGCAATTACCTACAAGCACAATTAAGGAACCCTAGTAACATTTGAGTATATCAAAACCAGAAAAGAAAGATAAAATCAATAAAGATCTAGGAAGCACGGACACTCCAAAATGGGCGTAGAATCCGTGTCCGACACGTGTCGGACACGGACACGCGTCGGACACGCCCCGACACGTGTCGGACACGCCAAAAAACATGTCTGGAATTTTTTTATTTTTTTTAATTTTCGGACACGGCTCGGACACGCCACGGACACGGCTCAGATAGCTCGAACACGGCTCGGACACACTTTTCTGGAATTTTTTTTTTTTTTTTTTTTAATTTTTAATGCTGATATGTTCTATTTTTTGTTTTGTACTACCCTAAAGATGCTGATATATATATATATACTAACCTAAAGATGTCACAATTCGCCGTGTCCATGTCCTAGAGATGCTGATATATATATATACTAGCATATCAGTGATATATATATATATTCCAACCTAAATTTTTTTTAAAATTATTAATGCTATATATATATATATATATATATATACTATTCGCCGTAGCCGTGTCCTAATTTTTTTGGATTTGTCGTGTCGCCGTGTCCGTGTCGTGTCGTATCCGTGTCCCATATCCGTGTCCGTACTTCTTAGATGATTCAGGGGAGGATAAAATCAACAACAATAGTAGTAGAAGCTCCCCTCACCTTTAGAGCCACTTTTTTGAGTTTGTTCATTGCCCGGAACTGCTTCATTCTAGTCAAGACAGCAATATCAATGGGTTTATCAGATGCATCACCATCTTCTCTCATCCATGGATGATCTGCATTATATTTAGCAGTTGAGTTTCATTCTCTAGTCAACAGAATGATGGGAAAGCTGTTGTACATTTCCCCATAGGATGCACATTAAATGTTACACAATATGCATACTGACATTCTAACCAACTTGTTTAGAACCTACTGGACTACAATAGAATGTTTATCTTTCATAGCACGTTTATCAGTTGAAAAGAGAAAATATATTATGATATGCTTGCCAAATTCATTACAATATTAGTATAATAGATATGAATAATGAGTCCATCTTGATTCTATAGAAGCCAAGAGGCCATTTGTTTACTTGTGTGTTGACAATTTTTCGAGGGAGAAACATACTTAATACTTCCAGTGCAGAAAGCCTGTCTTTGGGATCAGCCCTTAGCATTTTCTTAACGAGGTCTTTGGCACTACTAGAAATGGATGGCCAAGGATCGGATGAAAATTCAAGATGTCCCCGTAAAACAGCATTGAAGATTCCCTGCTCATTATCTGCATGAGAAAGAGAAGGCAAAAACAAGATCACAACTGTTAGGCTATAACTGAGCAATTTTAGGTGGTGGTTAGGCCTTATCTGATATCCAGACAAATATATCACAAGGTACTTCCATCAGAGCATTAGGTAATAGAAAAATTTTATGCATAATTTCTAATATCCCATTTGTATAAAGCTTATTTCCTTGGTAGCAACCATTTTTTAGTCAGACGTTGTGTAGTGAGATTTTCCAAGTGTTAAGAAGTTTGGGCTTAGCACCTAGAAAGTAGTGGAACCAACTACCAAGCACATTTATAACAAGAACTGTATTTATTGGCAAGGAAAAGGAGAAAATGAAATGAAACAAAAAAATAAGTTATCTTATATATATATATATATATTGATAAGTTAAGTTATCTTAGATATGATCTCTTCATCAAGGGAAAAGCTACATACCTCCCCAGAAAGGTGGGACCCCACTGAGCAATATATATAAGATCACCCCAGCACTCCAAACATCAGCCTCAGCTCCATAATTTCGACGGAGTACTTCAGGAGCTACATAATATGCACTTCCAACAAGGTCTTTAAATACATCTCCTGCACCCACAAGTAACATTAAAAACATTATCAATTACAACTAAGCCCCAATATAGATGAAAATTGAATTGTAATAAGGATACTTTGACAACCACCAAATAGATTTGAATGCAATGACTAACCTAAAGGTTTTTTCGAACATCAAAATATTGGCCTTCATAATTACTTGTGAATTGTATGAAATAAAGATCTTGGTGAAAATGAGGAAAAAAGTATGGCACATGATGACCAATAAAGTAAAAAGAAAGCACTTGGAAAAGTAAAAGAAAAAGAATGTCGATTGAAATGGGAAAAACAAAAAAACTATAGCATGTCTGAGGTGAGTGCTCCATCCTACATAATTTCCATTGCATTATGAATATGTCCTTAATTCATGGGTGGAAGAAAATTATATAGATTTCGTAGCCAATATTATTTACCCAAAAAAAAATTTGTAGTCAACATGAAAAGCTAATCCATTTGCTCCAGAATGAATCAATGGAGATGCAGGGGGTGAATCAATCAAAGGATGGATGAATCAATGAAAAAAGGAAGCAGTAAATGCCAATGAATAGAGGAGATCGATACCAATTAGACTCATGTGAATATGCTCTGTTTTTGTGATGTAACGAGCTAGGCATGTACTTGGTTTAGCAAAATAGACAAACACAACCATATAAAGCGAATTAAAACAATACCAAATCACTCGAAAACCACAACAAAACACCACCAAATAGACAAACACAACAATATAAAGTTTCACTTATCAATTCGATCTTCACAAAACACTAGTTAGAAGTTCAATCAGAGCCATATACGGATGATATAAACACTGGTTTGAAGTTCAATCAAAGCTGTATACGGATTATATAGATTAAGAGATTAGAACTATTACCTGGTTTGAAGAACACTGAAAGACCAAAATCAGTGGCCTTTAACGGTGAATTTTCATCTCTGCTCAAGAGCAAGAAATTCTCAGGCTTCAAATCCCTATGCATTACTCCCATGGAATGGCAGTTATGCACAACAGTCACCATCTGGCGGCACAGATCAGCCGCGGCACGTTCGGAGTAGTGTCCCTTCTCGATGATCCGATCGAACAGCTCACCGCCGGCACAAAGCTCCATCAGCAAATTGACCGAGTGGCGATCCTCGTACGCGCCTTTTAACTCGACGATGTTGCGGTGGCCGGTGAGATGGTGCATGATCTGGACCTCTCGCCGGACGTCCTCGATATCGTCTTTATTGACGAGCTTGCGAGTGGCGATCGACTTACAAGCAAATTCCTCTTTGGTGACTCTGTGAGTCACGAGGTAGGTCACGCCGAATTGGCCGCGGCCGAGCTCGCGGCCGAAAATGTAGGTGGAGCGGATGTCCTCCATTGGTCGGCCGAGGACGCGTCCGACGCCGGAGAGCGGGCGGGGGACGGCGGCAGAGGAGGATGTGGGTTTTTGATGTGGTGGTACCGGTGGTGATGGCTGGGAGGGGTGGATATTGAGGCCGTTGGATGGTGGATATGGTGGGGAGGCGGAACCACCAGCTCCGCCGGCGGCGTCGGGGCGGAGTCGGTTTTGGACGGAGGTGGGTAAGCCATTACAGTTACCCATGGTTTTTGGGTCTTCGTTGAGTCAAAATAAGAAAAGAACCAAATGGCTTGAAGATACTGCGTATACAACAATACCTGTTTGTCTGAAAAAGAGGTTGATTTTTAAATGACGGAAAAGCCCTTGAAAGAGGTGGATATACGTCTCCGTGGTCGATTGTACATAATTGAGGTATGATTTGTGGGTCCTAATAGGTTCATATGATGATTCAGCGATCATTCCTTTTAAGATCTATTCATATCCAACGGTTTACATCGTTCTACTTCCATTGTAAATGTTGCAGGCTTCAGATGATTATTTATTGGATTTTCTCTTAGGCTTCGTTTGGACATGGAGGAGAGAAAAGAAAAGAAAGGATTAAAAGATGAAAGAAAAGAAAGGAAATGATAAATATAATGTTTGGATGAATAAGAGAGAAAAGAAAAGAAAACATAATATTCTTGTTTGGATAAAACAGAGGAGAGAAAAGAAAGAAAAGGATAATAATAAAATTACTGTATTACCCTTTTGTAGATTTTGATAAATAATATATGCATGTATGTAAGATTTTTATACCACATTTTCTCATCTCTTCATAAACAGCAGCCTCATGATACAAGAAACCTATTCGCGCGTGAACATAAAAAATTAAAAAATTGAAAAAACCTGCATTGCAAAGCTCTGAGGAGCTTGGAAGGCAAGTCAATTAATGAGATACAAAGCTCGGATAAATAAATTGATTGCAACAAGAAGGATGTAATAACCATACCAGCAATATTATATATATAATAAATTGATTATACACACATACTTTGCAATATTATATATATAATACTAAGCATGAACTTGAAATGAAATAAAGAGCAGTAGATCAAGTCCAAGAGGATCACAAAGCATCTAACATGAAATTTTGGGTCTTCGAAAGGAAAATGGAAATAGATAAACAAAAGCAGATTAATTTGTTTGTAGGATTAAAAAAAAAAAAAAAAAAATTACTAATTTCTTCCAAAATTTTCTCATTTTGTGGTGAAAAAAAAAAAAAAAAAAATGAAGAAGACGAAGAAGTTAATACAATACCAAGAAAGAACATCAAAGCACGTTACTGCAAATCCTAGAAAACCCATCTCTGATTCCAATCTTATCTCTTTTCTTGGCCTTTCAATAGATTAAAATGTTCAGATTTTCTTTAGTAGTAGTAACATGAAGAAGAGACTTAAACAGAAAACGCAAGAGAAGATGAGCGGCACAAGAGAAGAGGAGGAGCGGCCCTTGCAGATGCGAGAGAAGAGGACTTGAGAAGCTGCTACCCTATTGTATATATAAATTGGAAGATTATTTCTGTCTTTGTCATCCTTTCCCCTCAAATCCTCTCAAATCTTCTCAACTTTGAGAGGATTTGTTTTTACTATACTGAAGGGATTTAGAGGGATACCCTATCCCTATCCCTCCAAATCCTTCCCAATCATGTCTTTTCTTCTCAATTCCCTCCAACCAAATACACTTAATCCTATCATTCCCTTTCTTTTCTCTCAAAATCTCTCCAATTCCCTCAATCCAAACGAGGCCTTAGTTTTCTAGATTTTTCCTAATCTACGCTTCAAGTTTCTTAAGAAAATACAAAGAAAATATTTTCTTTGTTAAATTAAATTCTATTTTTTTTCCTTTTTAAGTTGTCATTATTCTTACCTTTTTTTTTTCTTCTTCTTTTTTTTCCTTTTTTCCCCTTCTACTTCTTTATATATATATATATATATATATATATATATATATATATTAACATTGTGCAACCTTTAAACAAAAAAGGCTAATCTTATTGGCAAAATATAGAATTAAAATTGAAATTGATATAATTGGAGAAAAGTAATTCGAAAAATGAAATAAAATTTTTTCCAATTTCACCAATTTCAAAACTCCTATTCCATATCTCGGAACACAACTTTACTTAAATTTAGGATGAAATTTTCATTTCATTTCATTTATTAAAAGAATTAGTTGGAAAAATTAGAGCATTTTACAATAACTTATTTTAAAAACCATTTATCCACTCCGCTGTTGAGGATACTTTTGTTATTTTAATTATTAAACATTAAAGTGGGGTCCAGGGGGACCAATTAGCCAAGATAGTTTATTTTGCACAAAAATAATGTGAAAGTTGAGAGACTTTTCACTCCCCTGTTCCATGTAATCAACTCTCATAATGGTTTTTCTGTCGTTGAAATGCTATGTTCCATCTAATCAACTCTAACAATGGTATTTTCCTATTGACAAATAAAATGACAATGGATTTGAACTTTTAATTTTTTACTTTAAAAAACGAGAAATAAAATAAGTTAGACTAAGTCAGGAATTTGACCTGGGGGAGGCAAGTTAATACATGATAAAATAATTTTTTTAGGAAAAAAATATATGAAAAAACTTTGAAAGAAAATAATTATAATTCGATTGAAAAAAGAAAATGAAATTTTCTGTGAAGAGAATAGACTAAGAAGGAAAAAAAAAAAAAAATAGAAGGATTTAAAAAAGGAGAGCATAATTTAGGGGGTCATTTTGTATAATTCAATAAATTATATGCATAAAATGTACTAGAATTTAATAGGGCGTCTTAAAAAATATATATATATAAATAAATAAAAAATTCAAGTGGGGCATTTTGTATAAATTAATGAACTAGAGGTATAAAAAGCAAAAAAAAAAAAAAAAATAAAAATAATAATAATAATAATAATGGGCATTTTGTATAAATTAGTGATACCATATTGTTGAGAAAGCATGAAAACAAATTGAAAATGAAGAAAATTGGAATTCATGATGCGAAAAAACATTTTGTAAAGCAACACATATAAGTAACACTTTGGACCATCTTTTGAACTTTTGCTCATTTCTGATTTCTTAACACTTTGGACATCTTTACAAACTTTTGCTTATTTCTTTGCATATATATATATATATATATATATATATATATATATATATATATTGTATTATATATATACACACATAAATGCAAAATGTCATTTTTGTATGTCAAATCTATATTTTCAGAGGAGCTACAGTGTCAAAATGTTATATTTTAACAATTCTGCTCTAATGGTGCATTTTATCCAAAATGTTATTTTTTGACATAATATTTAGCTTATTTGCCTTATTAAAAATAAATAAATAAAAATACTAATATACACACACACAAGCACAACACCAAATTGGCAGCCCATGTGAGAAAAAGAAAAGAAGGAAGAGAACAATAACAGATTTGATAATAGTTATATGTTGTGTTATATTTGGCACAACATTTAGTAAAGTTATATTTTGGCAGCCTATTTGACATGCCATTGAAGAGTCTATTTTAAATTCTCATGTTATATTTTGAAAATAGCAATCCAAATAGTAGCTCATTGGTGTTGCTCTAAGATGTGATCGCTAGAGAAGGAAAGAATACAAAGGCTAGGCATCAGTCCATGCAGAAGCCCTCAAAGACAGCCCAAAGATAAAAAGGTTAAGCGCAATGGGCCCGCAGAAAAGAACCCAAAACACAAAGGTGAATATAAACACCAAGGGTTTTACTTGGTGACTTGAGATCACCCAACTGTATCCATGTTCAAGTCTCTCTCTCTAGTTTATCATAAATATATATATATATATATATATATATATATATATATATTTATATACACACTAGTATATAATAATAATTAAGGGTAATAGTCTAGTGATGCTTTTTGATTTATCAAAGTAGAAGATGGATGCAAACACCTTCCTAGCCCAAGCGGTAGGGTAGCTTCTCATTATCTTTGGAAGTCCGGTTTCGAGCTTTCGTACTCCCACTAACTACTAAAAAAAAATTATAAAAAGTGAAGAGTTCAAGTCTCCTAATAGAAGCCCTACTATAAGGTACAACATCACCTTCTATGCTAAAAGGCCCTAGACTTCAAGTTCCCAAAGAAACATGTCGATGGAAAAGTCGTGTTCACTGGTCCCTTTCTATACTCTGTTAAAGTTTCATTTTCTTTCGAAAACTTTGCTTAGCTCTAAATCTTTAAATTCATGGACTTTCTAGTTATGAAATTTTAAAGGATTAAAACTTAAAAGGTTGAACTTCAGAAAAAAAGACATATTTTGGAATAGATGGAGTAGCAAACAATTAAAAGACAGGAAAGATTGGCGCAGGCCGGAGTGCAGAGGCTTCGCTTCAAGATATTTGTGGCAATGAAATGTAAATGCTACATGAATTGCTGGCTATACGAGTGGTTCACTTGTTGAGGCAAACAACACTAGAATTTGGTGCCATATATAATTGGATTCTTTTTCGTCCTCAGTCTTCTCACTCAATACTTATAATTTCCGAATCAACATTCAGTTCAGGCAATCCCATAATTTTCCTGGGAATTGCAGGAAATGATCAGGGGAAAGAACTTGGTAGAATATGTGCTATTCAGATGCACCAAAGCCCAACTAGGTGTAGAGATAACATATATAAATACACACATATGATATATCGTTGTCAAGGACTGGTTAGTGGTTACATCAGCGAGTTCAGATTCTGTAATTGACAACTATTTGTCATCTCACATCACTTGAGGAAAGTTCGATGGCCTTGTATGTGTGAACATTCTCAATCGGTACAGACACGTTTTGATAAAAATTGTGAACACCAAAAAGTACAAGGACAATATCTACATGCATGTGCCTGTCCTGACTTGCGAGGCGTGCACAAAAAGCGCAATTTAGATTTTCTGCAGCTATCTTAAACACCAACAGAAGCTTTTGTCAGCTAACCTAATCTCATGCATACCTCAACAATATAATATTTAGTCAGCTTTATACCTTGAATATATTCCAATACATAAATCTCATTTCCATACTCATATATTTTTGCTTTCAGCACTCATAAACTCCTATACTTAATCTAAGGTATATAAATGAAAATTTTAAAGACAAATATAAAATGATTAGGGTAATTTGTACTCACATTCCTTATGGTTTGGATTAATGGCACTCAGCGGTCAACGCACTAATTTACATTGACACTTCATAAGATTTCAAAAGTCATATTTACCCCTCATGCCTGTAAATTAA